ATACATGTGTCTAATATTTGATGAAGTGATGACATGTGTCAACACAAGAAAATTGGAAAAATGTAGTAACATAAATAAATAAACTAACAAAATAATATTAAAACAACTAACTAATAATGAAAATGAAAATTTATAATGGTCAGAGGCAAAAACGAAATTGAAAAAGAAACAATATAAATAGAAAACTAACAAAATAATTATTAAGGAACTAAATAATATTAAAAAAGAAAATTTTATAATGGACTGATCTTCTAATATTAAATAGTTTAATTTTCCATGTTTTGTTAGGTAAAAAAATATTAAAAATAAAGATTTCATCATGGAATAATCAAAGTTTCATAAAATAATGAGTCGATTAGATTTAGACACATGTAAATCTTTCTATTTCATATCATGAATTCAAAATAAAAATGTAAAAGACTACATATCTTTATTTAGAGATTTGTTATCGGGTTTTTAATATTATTTTCTTATTTTTAAAATTGATCAAATTTTGTTTAATATTCTTCCGTGATTTAAAAAAATAAAAAATAAATAAACCCGCGTATACGCGGGGCCTAATCTAGTGATCTATAATTTTATTTTATTTTAAATAGATCTTAAATTCAAACAAAAAGAAATTAGGAGGAAAAATATCTTAGGCTATTAAACTATTTGAATTATTATTAGGCTCCTGATATTGATATAATGGGCCAACAATTAGGGTTCTAACGTCAGTGAAATGTGGACCTACTTAGCAGACAGTTGGGAGCTTATGGGCTTAGACATGGAGATATAAAATCTGAAATAAAGGTTTAATGGGCCCATGTTTAAAACATTTTATTGCTTTATGTCCTATGGGCTATGGGTAACTTTAATTAAAACACATCTCAGGTAAGCTCGAAATTCCAAATTCTAACCTCAAGAAAAAAATCGAATCACACTACAGATGAAAGACCAAATTTTGTTTGTAAATGCAAATGGAAAACATATGTTAGTATAGATTTTAACATTTATCTTAGAATATGTTACATTTCTCTAAAAAAATAACTCTTACTTTTTGAATTATATTCTAAGGAAAAACAAAATTTAAGCTTTTAATATTTCTGGAAAAGTCACATAAATATATACACTACCCATTAGCCGCGTCCCGCGTGCATAAGAAACTAGTAGTGGACCCGCACGTTTGTGCGGTGTGACATTGTGATTTGTAAAAAAAATATAATTCCTTTTCCACTAAAATTTTAACCTTAAAATGCATAATTAATATTAGTAGTATGTTATATTTTTTTATCAAAAAATACAAATAGTTTAATCAATAAATTTATATTTTAATCATCTCTTATAGTTTTTTATTATGTTTAGTTAGATAGTTGATAGTTTTAGGTTAGTCTCCAACTTTCACCCGAAACCTGAATCCATATCCAAACTGAAATTAAAAAAGGAATGATTAGGTACGTGTTAATCCTAGTAGTACGTTAAACCAAAATTATGCATTTTAAGGTTGTATCTTAATAGTACATTGTATTTAAATCTGAAAAATCTTCAAAAAACCCAAAGAATCCAGAAAAAACTCGAACTAAACCCGTAAAAAAACTTAACCGAAGCTAAACCAAAATATAAAAAGACTACAGTTTCTATATCTATAAATTTGAAAAACCAAAGCCCAAAGACCCGATCCAAATCCGACATGAAATGTGACCAGTGTTGTTATTTTTTATAGTTTATTGTGACATATATAAAAAATTACAAATAAAAAAGGGAAACAAAGACACGTGTTCTCCTTTTCTCCATCTTAGAGACATCATCACTTTCCTTCCCCTTTCTCCACCGAAAAACCTGTACTTTGCTTTCTTTCTCTAATTGAGTTTATGCATATACTTTGATCCCATCTTCTCCATTGACCCATCTCTACATATACTTTGATCCTTTGAACAACAGAACAATCTTGCCTTCCTTCAATTGTATCGTCTTCTTCTCTGATATGGCTAAGGAACTTACGTCCAAGGCACATGAGGCTTTCGTAGACGGCGACTTGGAAATTGATGTGGACTTGTATTCCAAAGTCATTGAATTGGATCCTAATTGCGCCGATTTCTTCGCCGATCGTGTTCAAGCTAACATCAAACTCCTAAACTTCACTGGTAACTTCTTCCCTTTATTATAAAAAAACGGTACTTTGTTGAAGAAGAACATAAATCTTCGTCATTGAGCTTCTGGGTTGTCATGTCCTGGGTTCTTGTTCGAAACCCATATTAAGGTTCAATGGGGTCTCCTTTTCGAAAATGTTGGTTTCTCAATTTCGCTCTTACTCTCACCTCTCTTTCTTCTGCAAAATTGCTTTCGTTTTCTTCCTTGGTGAATTCCTTTTATTGTAGATGTTGAGAATTATCTCTACCAAAATCCCACTAAGCAATCGATTTTCTATTTTCCTTGTCAGAGGAAGCCCTTTTAACACCTGCTCTGTCTCCGGTAACTCCCCAATCAAAATCTCTCCGTCCCGGTAACCCCCATCAAAATCTCAACAATCCGGTAACAGCTCACCTACCAACTACACTGCGAAACTCAACAAAAACCAGACAGGGCTGCATCTTCGCCAATTAATCTAGTTAACGACGGCGGTTCTTCGATTAATTGTGGTGGCAGATTTTTGGGTATAATCTGGATCGCCGTGTTACTGGATTCAAATTCTCGACTGATTGCTGTTATCCGATTTCCAGCGACACTGATTTCACAAAACCAATAGCTTTGGAATATTAATTGGAAAAAGAGGCTATGGAGATTTCCTGCTCGCTCATCCTTTTCATCTCAAGCTTTTAGCAAGCGATGATTGTTCCATCACCGATCAATTTAGGCATAGAAGCCTCAGACGGTCATCACAAATTATATAGTAGTAGGTAGATAGGGTTTATATCGATGATATTTCTTGATTATCAAGGTTTTTTTTATTTGGTATTATCATAAATTATGTTAATTTTTCTTTTTGGTAGATTTTCTTAGAATTGAAAAAGGGAAAGTTTTCTGATAATGTCATTATCGCCGATAGGTTTCTATTTCTCAATCTTTGGTTTAGTAAAATTCAGTTTTTGGTTTAATAGAATCAAATTGGTAAACAAAAAAGCAACAAACACGGTTTGATTTAAGTGATAAAGATCCGCGTCCTTTACCAAATCTATTTGGGTGGGTTATTCTCGATTTAAAGCTATTCGGGTGGGCTATTCGCGAGTTACCGAGTCAACTCAGCCGAGTTAGCTTTTTTTTGCCACTTTTAACCCCTGTTATCCTTGTATACAAACAGTTTTCCTTCATAAAAGTTATGGGTTTTTTGTCTTTTTTTTTAAATGTACTTCTCGATTAATAGTAAAGAGATTAAGGATTGAACTCTTTGGTCTTTTATTTACTTGCAAGAAGTATAAATACCAAAAAAGGAAAAGATGGTGGAAATTGAGGTGAGGCAGACGCGAGAGCTTCAAGGTGGTTGTTGACTTGTGGACCGACGACCGAAAAATATCAACAAGAACACGATCGCCTTTGATGGTGGTCAAAAGATACTCGCTTTACACCTTGACCTTTTATTTTTGCTGTTTTTTAAAGTCAAGTAACATGTTGATCTTTACAACTTTATTATATATTCCATCAGAATCATTCATATCACTATTTTTATTCTTCTTCACATTCATAAAAGCAAGCCGTCCATTTTGGTTTTTCAATTCACCGCGTAAGTAAAAGACTTGAACTTTAATTCACCTAATTGACTGTCTCATACTATAATTCTATAAAGTCTATAATTAGTTTCGTAAAGCAAAAGTCAAAAGATAATACAATAAGAAACACGGAAGATTGATGAGAAAAGCAAAAATAAATAACAGAAGATTATGTGATTCTATTATATGACCCACTACATATATAAACACTACACAACGAATTTCTTTATGCTGTTATTTTAAGGTTTTGATCAACTTTTGTTGTTGTAATGATTAGGTAACTTAAGTTAATGTTGGTATGTAATTATGCGAACATATATTTGTCGTCCGATACAAATAATCGACTAATTAAATCTACTCAAATGGTTCATTAATTAGTAGATTAAAGACTTTTGACCTCAGAATACGAAAAAAGAAAACAATAATAATTCAAGTTGCAGGCAAAGAGAGACTAGACTAGCACTACAAGTAGCTATCGTGCGCCTCTGCTCTACCCTATATATCATTTACTGCGAATTTCCGCCGGGAAGAAAAGTCTGCCTTCTTTAGCGTAAGCTTCACCAACCCTACGAAGAAGATAGAAACTAATCAATCTCTGCAGCTTCTTCGATCATCGCAAGATTCGACTCTTCTCTTCTCTCTTTCGATTCTTGGAAAAGGTAAAATGCTTTTCTTCTTCTAAGCAACTCGAACAAATTTCCCTTTTTGGGTCTTTCCTTTTATGCGCGTATATCGGTTTTTGATCGGATTTTTTAAACATATGGTTCGATTTCTTGCCGAATTAGATGATGTAAACGGATTTTTCGGAGTTTATTTATAGTTATTTTGAGTTCTCAATCCATTTTACGGGTTACGATCGTTGACTTGTGTTATTCTAGGTCACCAAAATGTCCCAGTTGTTACTGTATGGATTTCGATCGAATTATGTGCTATTATGAAGAAAGAAGAACAATTTACTCTTATAATGAAGAATTTGATTTTTTTTCTGAAAAAAATCGGTTTCCGTTTGATATTCGATTTTACGGTCTCTGTTGCTTCTTAAACCCTTACAATAAGAAAACCCTTGTTTGTCGCTGTGTCTGAACATTTCTATGTCTGTGCTTACAGTTTTGTCTAATTCCCTTGTAAAAAGTCAATTTTCTACTTCAATTTTCATATTTAAAGTCTAAAACAATGGCAATTTTCTTCTTTTTCAATTGCTTTGTATACCAGACGTAAGTCCCTGCTCTGCTACACCATTTCTGAAGTTTGCAAAACCTGTTTCCTGACGTGTTTTCGTTACACAGTTTTCGTAAGTTTGTGTGAGAGAGAAGCGTAATGAGCTGCTTCGGTTGTTGTGGTGGTGAGGATTTCCGTAGAGTTGCTGAAACAGGACCAAGGCCAGTGCACAACGCAGCAGGTAGCTTAGTTTACTTCCACTGCTTCGCTCACATCAGTAGGCAACGGCTTAAAGTTAACGAACTTTTTCAACTGTTGTTTAAGGTTACAATGGAGGTCACCATCAAAGAGCAGATCCACCAAAGAACCCGCCTGTCATTCAGATGCAGCCTATCTCTGTTGCGGCCATTCCGGCTGATGAACTGAAGGATGTAACCGATAACTATGGTTCGAAGTCCTTGATCGGTGAGGGCTCGTATGGAAGAGTGTTTTACGGTGTTCTTAGAAACGGTAACATAGCTGCTATCAAGAAACTGGATTCCAGTAAGCAACCGGATCAAGAATTCCTCGCTCAGGTAAAATTTCTCTGTTGAGGTTGTTTTGTCAAGTTTTTTGCTTTGTTACTGACATTAAGAGCTTTAAACAGGTATCTATGGTTTCGAGATTGCGACAAGACAATGTTGTTGCGCTTCTGGGATATTGTGTTGATGGTCCACTCCGTGTTCTTGCTTATGAATATGCTCCTAATGGTTCTCTTCATGATATTCTTCATGGTAAGTTAAAGAATGTAAAATATTGATGTGGTAAGAACTTGCTGAGGTTTTAGGAAGAAAAGTAATGAAATGTGGTGACTTTGTTGGTGCAGGTCGAAAAGGTGTGAAAGGAGCACAGCCAGGTCCTGTTCTGTCGTGGCACCAGAGGGTGAAAATCGCTGTTGGTGCGGCTAGAGGACTTGAGTACTTGCATGAAAAGGCAAACCCTCATGTTATCCACCGAGACATCAAATCCAGCAATGTACTTCTCTTTGACGACGATGTCGCCAAGATTGCTGATTTCGATCTGTCCAACCAAGCCCCTGACATGGCAGCGCGCCTCCACTCGACTCGTGTGTTGGGAACCTTTGGCTATCACGCTCCAGAGTAAGCCCCTTTGACTTGCTTCATTTGTCTTTAACAATGATATCTGATTTGTTTTGTTCAGACTAATCCATGTGGCTACTACATTCGACTAGTGTTGTAAGGCACTAAGTCCTTTTGTTATCATATTGTTATACCTTTATGTTGTTGTACAGCTTGCATCTCTTCTTCTCATTGACCAAACTATAGAGTCTTAAAACAGTTTTGGTTCTGTATTTTAGGTATGCAATGACGGGAACGTTGAGCACAAAAAGTGATGTTTATAGTTTTGGTGTTGTTCTGCTGGAGCTTCTCACAGGGCGTAAACCGGTTGATCACACCTTACCGCGTGGACAGCAGAGTGTCGTGACATGGGTAATGTTTTGAAGTAAAATCTTGCTTTATTGTGAGAGAGATTTAGAGACTCTGATCTTTCCTTAGAAACGAAAACAACCATGACTCAATGATATGCTTTTGTGTGGTTTCAGGCAACTCCTAAACTGAGTGAAGACAAGGTGAAGCAATGCGTTGATGCAAGACTGAACGGAGAATATCCCCCAAAAGCTGTTGCAAAGGTAATTTAATTGCCTTCCTCATAACTTTTTGTCATACTTTCACTTAACGTAGTGACTGGTGATCTGATATTGTTTGTTTGGCTCGGTAATGACCAGCTGGCTGCGGTGGCTGCGCTGTGTGTACAGTACGAGGCGGACTTCAGGCCAAACATGAGCATAGTGGTGAAGGCTCTTCAGCCTCTGCTCAATCCTCCTCGCTCTGCTCCTCAGACTCCACACAGGAACAACCCTTATTGATATGCTTCGGTCGGTCACACACTTTATCATCACATCACACACTACTATTTCATTTGTTTTTGTTTGAATCCCCCGATTTGTGTAAATTCGTGAAAATAGGCCTTTTTATCTTCTCTCCTAAAACCTGAAAATCGACCTAAAAATGTTGCTCTTGTTTCTATACTGTTTCATGCCTGTGATGTAAGTTTCCACTAATTCTACAATATGCGAGGAAAATATATACCAATATATACTCTTTTTGTGCCGTACGTTTGTTCATCTTTCTTACTATTTTTTCTTTTCTTTCAGACATTATAGTAAAATTAATGTACATACATACCTCATTTCTGTGGATTTTGTCTTCTCACATTTGTGCGCGGGTATAATAATGATATCATTTATCTTGGTGAAGTTACAAGGAATTACAAAGACACTTGAACCTAAAACGCTACAGAAATGTTTAGATCAACACTTGATCCAACACTGAGATCCTGATTAAACTAGTAGTTCGCTTGAAGAATCATTTTCCAGATGTTTCATCGATGATACATGGAGATAGAAAACGAAACAAAACCAAAACCCAAATGGTATCTCAATAAAGATGAAAGGAAGAGTCGTATAGTTTGCCTTGTACATGCAAAGGACAAGAGCTACAAATCCGATCATATGAATCAATAGGGGCGTGCTGGTTTCCATCGCACATGCATTGTCAAAGCATCTCAATAAGCCATATGCAATGGTAACTGGGGCGAATATAATTATCCACATTATGGCCTGCTGTTTTATATCAAAACCATATGTGTCCACAAGTTGGAATAACAGCAAGCCGTATGCGATCATGATTAGGGAATGTATGACTATACAGTAGACTGATCCTGAGGTCACCCTGTCATTAATGTACCAACAATTATGGAAAACATGAAATGCTTCTTCGATATGTAATATTGCATGAAACAAGAGAGTTACTTACATAAGGATAATTCTACGTGTGCGTATCCACATGTATTCGTTTTCTATCATCTACGAAATCTAAGATCGATATCAATCAAAGGTTAGTTACTATAGATTAAAAACCTTATGCTAAATCATATATACATGAGTATGTCCTCTAAATATTGACAACACCTTAACGTGTAAGTTTACTCTCTTCATTACTTGCCAAATCTTCACTTTGATCTCTCTAAAATGTGCAAAAATATGTAAAAAGATGATAAGCATCACACACACACACATCTATTTATTATCTATGCTTGTAATTTCCTTTTTATAATGAAGATATTAAATTATAGACATTAAATATATATAATTTAATTTCCTTTTTATATATATATTTAATGTCTATAATTTAATATCTTCATTATAAAAAGGAAATTACAAGCATAGATAATAAATACATAAATTTTTTTATTGCTAATATATTAAAAATTCATTGTATTTTGTTTTGGAGAGATCTCACAAGCTTTTTACTAACTAGAGTTGGATTTTTATAGTGCTTTTGCATTATAATAACTAAAGTAGATTTTTTATACGTCTTAAATACTTTACTGATGTGTTTATATGACATGGATTTCGGATCTTCTTAAGAAAGAAAAAGGTAACAACAAAGCTATACAAATTATAAGATCTCTCTCTCCTCCTGCAGACAAAAGAAACAAATCTTCTTCTTCTTCTTCTCTTTCTACTATATGTATCACATAATTAACCCATAAAAATATAGTAAAGAATCTAAACAGTCTCCAAAGAATCTAGTTTTTTTCCAGTTTTTTTAACCCCAAAGTCATAAAAATGGTCGTATGTTTCTGTTTGTTACTCAAATCTTTGCATCTGTTATGATCTCATCTTTATTAGTATCTGTGCTTTCTCTATGCATCTCTGCGTTCTGACTTCTCCTTCGTCTTCTTTCCTACAAAACATTCATCAAACAAATTCTTAACACTCTAGTTTCCACTTCTTAATTTTTTTTGGAATTGTTCTTAGTACAAATTTATATAGTACCTCTCTAGGCATCACAGGGTATTCATCTGACTCAAGCATTCGAGCCACTTGGCTCATCTTTGGCCTCTTGTCTGCATCAGGATCAACACATCTCAAAGCTGTCAAAAGCGCTCGTTTAAGATCACTTGTCGATGGTTTGATCTCAAGCTCTTTATCCACCACTTCCTCAATCTGTTTCTGCTGTACCATTAGCTTCAACCACTCCACCATATGCACCTAAAACAAAAACACATTTTCATGAACCTCTGATTCATCAACTCACATATTAACCCTCAGATTTTCTAATTTCAGTAGAGAAAAGATGAATGTTTTTATGTACCTCTTCTTTAGGCCTTGCATAATCCACTGGATACCTTCCAGTAATAGCTTCCAAGAGAACAACACCAAAGCTGTACACGTCGCTCTTCTCGTTTAGGTTTCCGGAATTAGCATATTCAGGTGCAACATATCTGAACATTCATCATCAAAACAGAGAAAAAAATGTTTTAAACAACCAATATAGACTTAACTTATGTAAGAAGTTACAGTATATCAAAAACTCACCCGAATGTTCCCATAACTCGAGTACTAACGTAGCTTTTATCAGCTCCAAGCAATTTAGCAAGACCGAAATCTGATAACTTGGCATCAAAGTTATCATCCATCAGTATATTGCTTGATTTTATATCTCTATGCACCACTTTCGGCTCAATAGCTTCATGGAGATAAGCAAGCCTGTGTAACATGAATATGCAATCAAGAACAAGAATCAAGAATCAAGAACCATCATGTGGTTTGAAGGCAAGAACTTACGCTTTTGCAGTGCCAGCAAGAACTTTGATCCGAGCCTCCCATGTGAGATAACCTTGGTGACTCATGTCTCCATGAAGCCATTGTTCTAAGTTCCCATTGTTCATGTACTCGTAAACCAGCATCCTATGAGTTCCTTCAACGCAGTATCCAAGAAGACGAACTAAGTTCTTGTGCCGGACATGTCCTATGGCTTCCACTTCAACTCTGAAATCTTTATCAGCTTGCCCTCTAAACAAAAACAAAAAAACAATAATGTCATCTCATACTCAGAGATCATGAGCATTGCATTGAGTAGATAAAAGAAAGGTGTTACAAGTAAATCTTACGGATTGTTGAGCAACTTCTTGACAGCCACAGGGGTTTTGTTGGTTAAAGTTCCATGGTAAACAACTCCATAGCCACCATCACCGATGATATTCTCTTTGGAGAAATGATTAGTCGCAACTTGAAGGTCACGGAGAGTGAACCAGTGACCCCAACCAATGTGAGAATCTTCAGGGAGACCAGAGATAGGTGAAGAAGTAGAAGGAGGCAAATGTGACTTTTTCTCTAGAGATCCAGAGTAGTTGTTACCATTCTCTATGTCGTTCTTGCTGAACTTCTCATCTAGGGTTTGATGAGAAGTAGTAGTAGTAGTACCATTGTTGTTGTTGTTGTTTGATGAAACATGATCAACGTTTATTTCTTTGATTTCTTCAGGAAGGCGAGGACTGCTTTGCGTTACGGGAAGCTGTATAAAGTTAGATCTTCTTGATTTTTTACGGAAGCTGAGCCATACTGAAATGGCTAGGATTACTATGAATGCTGCGAACAAAGCAATCACTATGATTTCCCACAGTTCAAGAGCGCCGTATCTTTTTGTTAGAGTTTGTTTTAGCTCAGACGCCATTATTGTTCACAAAAGATTTGTATGTGTATGCCTGCAAATATAATCAAAGTTTAAAAAGGGATTAAGCTAAATCATAATCTAATTACATCAACTTGTCACAAAAGGAGACTCAAAACAGAGCAAATAATTTTAAAGGAAGCAGATCAAAATTTCAACTTGACAAATCAAGAACATCTAAATCTGACACATGACTTGAGATAAACAAATGATTGGGCTGTAAGAAAATAAAAATTTACAAGTTCCATAATCATATCAAACCCAAGAAACCATTTCTACTTCAAGATCAAGATCTCGTGAGCTATAGACTGTTTGAGCATTAATGTTGTAAGAAACTGAAAAGTCGGAATTGCAGAAAGTAAGAAACTTTTGAGCTTCCAAAGCAAACCCACAAAGAAAGATCAAAGCTTTGAAATCTCCAGAAAATCAAAATAAAAACTAGATCGTTCATTTTGATTCCGATTAACCTAATACCTGCTTTCCGAACAAGTTTCCTCTTCTTCTGTTTTTCTTTCTATTTCCGGTTGGGAGATGGAGACTAGAACTCTGGTTAATGAAGGGACCCCATAAACGAAGAGAGAAAAATAAAGGAAGAAGAAGAAGGCAATCGGTGAGATAAATCCTCCATTTTCAGAAATCTTTAGAGAGTTTCCATTGGTGGGAGGAAAAGAGGGGGAGGGAAATAGAGAAGGAAGTTTGAAGCTTTCTTTGATGTTTCTTCTTCTGGAATATATTATGCTTGTGGGCTGTGTTTTCTTCTTTTTTATTTTCGTCCTTTTCTTGTTGGATTAATTTATAGATTGCATTATTTTGTTTTAGTTTACATCTTTAGGCAAATTAAAGCATCCATTTAACTTTATTTTACTTCTCTATTAGCAAAAGTTTCTTTACGTATGTGATGTTATATGTTTCTCAATTTTTTTTTGAAGGTTAAAGTAGGCTTCTCTGTTAACCTTTACTCTTTACTAATCAGAGTTTAATAGTTTCAAAATAATCAGCTCAATTTATTACATCAGAATTCGTGAGAGCAAAATACCTATGGTAATTGATTGAAATTTCATTACATTTCTTAATCATTTTAAGTCTCCCTAAACAAAAAGATAACCGTTTTAAGGATTTATAAATTATGTGACGTAATGTTTTTCATCTTATATATATATACACTTTTTGCAAAGTTTGCATAGGTATACTTTAGTTGTTGAGAACAAAAAAATATGATGAATGATGATAGGAGGATGACGAAGCTATAGGCCGTGATTGGTTTACACAGATTACCTTAATGTTATTTAAATAAGTATTGCAAAATGTGTTACTAATTAATATGACAATTTGCGAATTTGGTCAACATTAGTATTAAATTAGATGTCGCACCTAACTCTTTAAGGTAATAAATTGTTTACTACTATATATTATAACCACCTTTCCATTTAACCTTCTCCACTAAGCATTTTTATTTATTAAGTAAACACTTTTTTGATAAAATTTATTAAGTAAACACATTGGATTAAACAAAAGGAAATGAGCGGCTACCAAATGAGAATCGTGGATTTTGATTATTTGAGTTGTTAAAGAAAGAAGAAGACGAGGACAAGAAAAAATAATTTAAAAGATGAGTACGTACGTGAGTCCATGTTATTCAGATAATTTCGTGCGGAAATGACTCGATTAGTTATGTAATACTCCATTTTGCTTGTGTTAAAAGCAAATGAACATAATTTTTCTTGAAAAAAAAAAAAATAACATTTTATATAAATGGCATGCAATACCGGTGCCATTTTGCTCACATAATCCCAATGCACGTTGTCTCCAAGTTCATGCCGTTATCTGATTAGCATTTTTTTCTGAAAAAACTACAATATCGTTGACAAAAAGGCTACAACGTATAAATCCACTATGAAATAGTTTCAAAAATATACCTTTAACAAAACAAAACAAAAAATTGAAAGCCTTTAAAAAAAAAAAAAAAAAAAAACAAAAAAAACAAAACAAATATCGAAAAGACTTGCTTTTGACGACGTCTAGCAAACATATATATTAGGGTTTGAAAAATTCTGTCTGTTATGACTTATGAGTTGTTGAATCCGAGATAGCACTCGTCAAGACGGGCTATCTTAGATGTGAGTTTAGGAAACTGGAACGCTTAATTCGACTCTTAGATTATCAAGAAGTTACAAGAGAGCAATCTCGCTAACAAGCCTAGCGAGATTATGATGATGAACAAGAGGATAGAGTAAAAGCTAATGTGAAAGCCTAGTGATTCTAGATGATTTCGGATCCCTCTCCCCAAGGGGGGTCTTCAATATATAGGTTGATAAGTCGGCCGAATGATGAATATTCTCCTTCAGGCGAGATGGAAAACTTCCTCTTTTGCGATATGGAAAATTCCCTCTTGTTTTTGGATCTTTCTCCATTCTTTAAGTCGGCATGAAGATTTATTTACATTTCTCCATGGATTGTGCCTTTCTCTTCAAGTCTTGCCTTTTTCTTGAAGATGTTAGGCCTAAAATCGGATTGGGCTTTGTACTTTACTAATGATGACGGGCTCAGGGAAATGTGCTAATTTCTCCTCTAACAATAAGTCCCCCCGCCAGCTCGGCAGGTCAAATGTAGTTTGATCTCGGCGAGCTTCATGAATAGAGGACGAGCTTGAGAATCATTAGTAAAATACATCACTTCAATCGGATCTTAGTGCCTAGGTGCATGCTGAATGTAGATTCGTGCCGCCTCATTAAAACCTTGGTACGGAAAAACCCAATTGGGACAAAAACCATAAAAAGGAAAAAGAGTACGTTGACGTCATCTAATTCATGCTTCGAATGATTTTTGACCAAAAATGCTTTCTTTCGTAGAAATCAGTAATGGGTTTTAATCGGCCCATGATCTGGTTCGAGTTTTTGGGAAATCGTTTGGGCGGGAACAGGAAAAAGTCTCGGAGAAGCCTTCTCTTCTAAGAATCGTGGAATTCTTATTTAAGGAAACGATTAGGATTTCCTAGGGTGCTTATTCCTTTTTCGTGATACCGATTTCACCAAGCCCTTCGAGGGAGAGCGAATATCTCCTTCGCTGCCCTGACCTGCATTTCCTTCCTTCTACCTTATTCTTTCGCGCTTTCGATGGTGCAAATCGAGACCAGTTCATCGATGTCGACGTCGGCCCTTGAGCATAATGCTGTCCCAAGGAGATTTGCGAGACGGTGGGTTTGGCGAAGGCGATGAACTCATCCGTTAAAGGGGAATCCGAGGTTCTAAACGGGGAATGCGGCGACCGTTCTTGCGAGGGAATTCCGCACGAGGATACGGGATCCGATCCTGAGCTCGGTGAGGAGAAAGTCCCTGATTGCGCTAGGCTCGATGGTATCCCTCAAAAGATTGAGATGCCGTGGAGATCATCGTCAAGATCTCTGGCTCGGGATGGTCAATCGGGGATGACCGAAGATATAGTCATCGCTTTGCGGGAGAGGGTGGGAATCAGTGACGCGGTCAAGATTCTCGTTCCCTTACCTGACCAAAGGCCGATGGACGCTCCACCTGGATGGTTTTGCCTCTACGAATGCTTCCTCACGGAGTTTGGAATACGTTTTCCGGTCCTCCCGTTACTTCTCGAGTATGCGTATGAGCGGGGTGTAGCGTTGAGTCAGCTGACCCATGGTGTAGTGCGGCATATGGTCTTCTCGGCCGCTCTGGCGAAGGCAGCCGGGATGAAGCTAGACAGGGAGCTCTTTGAGCGTATAACTGATCTTCGTGCTGGGGTTAAGGAAGGAGGTTTCAAGCGTTTCCACACATCGATGAAACATGACATCGTTTTTGGTGATCATCGAACGAAGATTCATCACTGGACGCGCTACTACTTTTTTGTCAAGGTCGACCGTGCTTCGGTCGGGGATTTCGATCCTAGTCACGTCTTAACAAAATGGGTCCAGGAGCCAGGGTAAAGTGGTTGTGAATTCTTCCTTATTTTTAACGGTTGCTTCGTATGCTAACTTACGCCCCCATTATCTGATATGCAGGAAGGATTGTCCCAAGGAAAGTAAATACTACTTTAAAGGAGAAGTTTAGAACTTTACGCGACTTGAGTAGAGAGACTTGGGCGGATGCGTTTGCCGAGACCGAAAGGAAGAAGAAGGAAAAGAAAGGAAAGGCTATTGCTATAGCGATTCCTCTCCCTGGTGAGTGTTTGATCATCGCCTTTGAATTTTTACGCCTGGTCCGGCTCTTAAATCGCGCTCCCTGATGTCTTCCAGATAAGTTGCCGGGTGTTGCTAGGAAGACAGGCTTAAGGAAAAGGGCTCCGGCTTTGGTGGATGATGATATCCTGATCTCTGATCCTTTGCACGTGAGTCCATGTTATTCAGATAATTTTGTGCGGAAATGACTCGATTAGTCATGTAATACTCCATTTTGTTTGTGTTGGCATGCAATTGAAAGCAAATGAACATAATTTTTCTTCGCAACAAAAAAAAAAAACATTTTATATAAATGGCATGCAATACCGGTGCCATTTTGCTCACATAATCCCAATGCACGTTGTCTCCAAGTTCGTGCTGTTATCTGATTAGCATTTTTTTCTGAAAAAAACTATAATATCGTTGACAAAAAGGCTACAACGTATAAATCCATTATGAAATAGTTTCAAAAATATACCTTTAAAAAAAAAAAAAAAAAAAAAAAAAAAATCGAAAAGACTTGCTTTTTGACGACGTCTAGCAAACAGATGTATTAGGGTTTGAAAAATTCTGTCTGTTATGACTTATGAGTCACTAATTTAACCAGGTCTAAGAAAACACACAAACAAATATCATGTACTTACGCAAAATTCCATGTGAAATGACATGCATATGTTCTCGCAAATCGTTGACAAAATAAAAATGTTGTTGACAGAAGAAAAAAAGAATTATACAACTATACGTTTTACAGTATAATACTAGTCCTATGAATTTTTCTTCTAGAATGTCAGCTATTTTCTTACAAACATATTCTTATATTAACATTTATGTATCAACTGATATCATACAATTTTGTGCTAGTTATTTATATCAGGCTTATCATATGTTATGAAATAAATTCGAGGTTCATTCATTTAACCAGAAGACGCACACACTGTGAAGACATATGGACTAGTTAATAATTCGAGGTTCATTCCTTAAACATTTACTGTATAGGATAAGAAAAAACAGAGAAACAATAGAGAAATAATTAAATTTTTGAAAAAGATAAAGCATGACTAATGTGGCTGCCTAATAATGTTGGCTTAGCGTGTGCTTGACAAAAGTCTACCTGAGAATGCTTTTGTCTTGGTGCGTGGAATACAAGAGACATACCTTCATCATCATCATTCTCCAGCTGGACAAATGATTCTCTATCTCTACCATTATTTTCTTTGATTCACACGATTTTTTTCGTTCTAAATATTTTCAAATTTATTGATAAAAAATCTGGAATGCGTAATTACGAGTCACACAGTTTTTATACGTCTCTTCAACGATTAGCATGTATATGTGTAAAATTTTAAAATACTCTTGGTTTTGATTTGAGACACATTTTACTATGATAATGATACCATTCATAGTTTTTTTTTTTGTTTTTTTGTTAAAGGGATTTCATAGTTATGAGCTTTAATTTTAATATATAATACTTCGACGTAGTCATCTAAAACTGCTTATAACTGCCTTAGACTAGTTAAATTATATTGTCATCTAATATCAAAATTGTATAATTTTAATATTTATGAAATACTCATCATAGTTTATGATTATATAATGTGTAGCCTCGTTCACAACTGTCTAAAACTGTTATTTATAACACTATAACACTAGCTTTTTTATTAGTAAACCATGCACGATGGCAGATAATATTTCGGGTTATTTTAACTTAAGAAAAAAATAGCTATAGGCTAATTGATTGTAGAACTAGAACAATTATCTAGACTACGCGTAACAAAAAACTGCATGATTAGTGTCCGCCTCCAAAAGCTAACCAACAATGGGTTTAGCTGGTGTTGTTAATATTTTATTCGAATATATTAAGCTTAAGTTTTATGATACAGTTTATATGCTTTTCCTATTTTGTTGCTCTTTCAATAATTTATTATGGTCTTGCAGTTGTTGGGTTACATCAATCTGTCCTACTATCATATAAGATAGTACAAATTAGTATATTAGGGTCTTAAAAGATTTGCTTTTATATAAAAAAGCATAGAAACAAGGATTCAGTGATTGTTTAAGCTCTATTTTGTCTCTTAACTACACATGCATTGCATCCAAATAATAATAATAATATTGTCGGAATTTCAGTTCAAGAAAAATATCACAAATTGCATACATAGTGCTGTGATTGTGGATATTCATATTAAATTCATACCAACGACGTTGAAGTAACTTTAATTCAAATTTACATGTCAACTTAAAGCGATTAGAAGAAGATATACTTGTGTATATAAGAGAATACATAATCAGCGGTGTAATACACCAACGGCTGCTACGTACATATAGTCGGTGCAAAAAAAAAACTGCATACCACGTCCTTTCCTGTAGTTTTTTTCTTTATCATGTTATATAATTAGATTGTATTAATTTTAAATGTTGGCGTTTATATTATATATTTTGGAACAAAATGAGATAGTCATCAATGGCAACTAACAATATCTTGAATCTGAGAGTTGTTTTTTGACTTTCATATCCGATCAAGAATATGGTAAGTCTTATAGCTTACAAAAATAAAGCAACCGTAAAGTATAACTTTGTTTGATACGTTTGAACGGATTGTATATACATGTAACAGATAAGTTAATATATCAGTAACTCTGTTGTGTAAAAGGAAAATGGGTTGACAACAATGTCTTATTGCCGACAAGAATCGGTTAGTGATACTAATTAATAGAATGAGACCTCCACTTATAAATTGGTTAGTATATCACATTCACTTGGTTATTCTTAATTAAATATGTTAAAACCTCCCAAATCCTCACGTTTTGCAAAATCTTATTTTAATCAGAAGATAAGCCTTCAATCTTGAACATTCAAAACACAACCACGTCGATATATACATACTCCCAGTCCCATCGTTATCCCACATTGCAGATTTTTTTCTCGTCATCTTAAATGGGATCACTGATTCAGAACATAAATGGGCTTAAAATAAAGTTTTCTGATACAGCAGAAGGTGTAAAGTAGGCCCATTAAGCCCAAACCTTGTAACTTTCTTGGCGGGTCTTCTCCACATGTGAGAGATGGAACCATAGCCGTTCGATTCAGATTTTGCAGATTGGCCCTATCATCTCCACCGTCCCTTTTTAATTTCCGTCTTAATTGTGAAGAAAATATAATCATTTCAAGTTCCAATCCCTCTTGTCCAACTAAACTACTGTAGCTCTCTCCAGTTCTCATAAACTTCTAATTTCTTCCCATAAATAAATCTTCTCTCTGTTTCGTTGATTCCCATAGAACCTGTGAATAATTCGTCGTTTTGTTCGTCTTATCGTCGGATTCCGTTTCAGTTTCTTAATTTGTCGATAGCGTTCGTCTAATCTATTGCTTTCGTTACGTTGAGCTAGATTTGTGCGTTTGTTTCCTTGGTGATAATCAGCTTATGATTCTAAGGTAGTAATGTGTGTTCTTCCCTCAATTTTGTTCGTTTCTTATACTCCCTGCTTATCGGATCTAATCGTTTTCGTAGTTCTCTCGATTCCATCCTGCTCCTCCGCTGGTGGATTTAGGTTTTCGAATTTTAAATCACATGTCGTATTATTTGATTTTCGTTTCTAGTGTGATTATATTGATCATTTATTGGTGATGTGGATCCAATTGCATGGTTTAGTTTCCGTCCCACGATTTGTCCATTTACTGTTGAGCTCGTTAATGGAAGCTTTGGTGCTTTGCTTGTTGATTTCTCTGCAATGGCTGACAAAAGCTTTTGCTTTTTCTTTGGATTCAGTTAATGGCCACGGAACCTTTTGCAACTCGTTTTTTCGGGATACTGTCCTCTTTTGGGATTGGTGGAGTGACGAGAAATTGACTATTAAAGAACTTTGCGTACAAAGATTTTCTGATTTTGAACTGAGAAGGGAGGAGAAAGATGGCAAAGATGATAAACAAGACGCTTGTATTAACATATATCTACTTACTTATCTACATTCTACTCTCTTCAGGAGTTATACTGTACAACAAGGTGATTGCTATTGCTACTATACTTTCATATTCTCTGTCTTTAATTTAAAATCAGATGATAGATATAAGCAAGGGCTAGCTTAGGTTGTATCTTGATTTAGCTTTTTTTTTTACAGTAGAGGCTGACTACTAAATCATATTCCTTTTGTTGTTCTTAATTGCAGTGGGTTTTATCCCCAAAATACTTCAATTTTCCACTTCCTATAACGCTGACAATGATCCATATGGGGTTCTCTGGATTTGTGGCCTTCCTTCTTATTCGTGTGTTTAAGGTATCGTAAAACTCAAAGCATAACATATACACTTCCATATTTAAGTAATGCTTACTTGCATTAGACTGCTTTTTTTCTCTACTTGTATGGAGTATGCTTATGCACATTTTATGCGGTGTTTTCTTTCTGAAAAAATAATTATCTTCTATGGACCCTTGGACTTTTTTTTGTAGTGCGGTGATATTTTTCCTTTGTGTTGTAGGTTGTAGCTCCGGTTAAAATGACATTTGAAATGTAAGCAAGTTACTCGGTACTTTTTCATCTTTTTATTGTTTCTTCCGTACGTATGTTCCACCATCTCTCTCCATTTTGACACACTTATTGGGTCCAGATACGCAACATGTGTGGTACCTATAAGCGCATTCTTTGCATCTAGCCTGTGGTAATTTCCTGCTCTATAGACAGTAACATAGTTTGTTTATAGATGCTCTCTTCTTTATTCGTTTTAGTCATACTTGCTTCCCATATTTTCTCGTCTCTATCTTATTATATTCTCCTTTGTGCAGGTTTGGCAATACTGCATATTTGCACATTTCTGTTGCCTTCATTCAGATGCTCAAAGCTCTAAGTATGTGGAGACTTGACAATTTTGGCTACATAATCTGTTTTAGTATAGTCTTTCTGTTCACTTAAGTAACCATATTAATACATGGCTTTGGAATTTCAGTGCCAGTAGCAACGTTCATCATGGCGGTTGTTTGCGGCACTGACAAACCAAGGTGTGACGTGTTCTCAAACATGTTGCTGATCAGTGTTGGAGTTGTGATATCATCGTATGGGGAAATTCACTTCAATATAGTTGGCACGGTCTATCAGGTCACAGGCATCTTTGCTGAAGCACTTAGACTGGTACTGACTCAAGTTCTTCTCCAGAAGAAGGGGTTGACATTGAACCCTATTAACAGCTTATATTACATAGCTCCCTGCAGGTATTCTCTTCTGAATCCAGTTCGTTTAATTTCATTATGTCACATGATCTTCTCTTATTCTTCTTAATGTTGTCAAGTAAAATAAATGCTAGATGTAAAGTGCCATCTCCTCTACTGCACATTAATACACATAATCTTTTCGTTGAAACTCTCTGGTCAATCTTTTGCAGTTTTGTTTTTCTGGCCTTGCCTTGGTATGTGTTGGAGCAACCATCGATGGAAATTACACAGATCCAGTTCAACTTCTGGATATTTTTTTCCAATGCTCTCTGCGCTCTTGCCTTGAACTTCTCCATATTCTTAGTAATCGGGAGAACAGGTGCAGTAACCATCCGGGTGGCTGGTGTTCTCAAAGACTGGATTCTCATAGCCCTCTCCACCGTCATTTTCCCCGAGTCCACCATCACTGGCCTCAACATCACTGGATACGCAGTTGGTAGGTTTCTTCACTCCACAACAAACATTCGATCACTGTGATCTATTTCTGTTTTCTTGACTTTCTGTTCCAAACGTTTAACTTTCCATTCTCTCTGTCATGTGTTTGACACAGCGCTATGTGGTGTCGTCATGTACAATTACATAAAAGTAAGGGACGTAAAGGCGTCTCAAATAACTGCCGAAACTCTCCCGGATCGTATCAACAAGGTCAGTCAAAACATTATGGACCTGTTTATCTCAGCCTTGTTTCAGATTCTGTTGTATCCACAAATAGGTGCAATGGATTTATAAACCGTGTTAGACTGGCGAAGATATAATGTGGAAGCAATTACCGTGTAAATATAATTATATAGCAACTGATGAACACAAGCATGACACAGGAGTGGAAGATGGAGAAGAAGTCTTCAGATAAATTCAATCCTGATGTTGGTGGGGAGAGTCCAAGAGTAGGAGCCGAGATAACCGACGAGGAAGCCCCTTTGATTACGTCCCGGTTATCTCATATCGGTCGGACGCAGCTCGGAAACCACACCGCTTAAGAAACGTATAAATAGATACTTTGCTTCCCAATTCTTTTTCTTTTTTGATGCAAATCTTGGAAACCAAAAGAAAAGGTGCAGCATCATTTTAGACCGTCTTTCCTCGTGTCTAAGGTGACAATTGTTTTCCTTCTCTTTGTTATGAAATAGGATAGCGGAGATTGTTGCCGGTGATTAGCTTAAAGACATAAAAGTCGAAAATTCGTTTGTAGTGATTACTGATTTATGTTAAAGTTAAATATATTTATGGTTCCATCATCAGTTGACTCTGGATTCGATCTTTCCGACTTTTGATCAGCATCTTTTACATTTTGCATCAAATGGGTTTTTATATTGCTATCGACTTTATTCCCCGGTGGTTATCTGAAGCATAGATTAGACCAAAAGTGTACTCGGCACAGAATTTGAAGCAATCAGTTGAGTATTGAATATTTTAAGCTCTTCAAAGTAAAAAAACCTCTAAAAAGGTGAAACAAAACGAATCTGTGAACATCGCAATAGTTTTACCTAAAGACTCGATTCATTTGGGTCAAATGTGATCATACATGTGTTAGTATTCTTTCATCACGTTCTTCATTTTTACCAGGTCATAGTGACAGAAAGTGAAATGAACAGTTCAAGCTAACAAGTCGTTTGATGGAAATTCCAGCTGTGCCCTGAAATATTATACAGTTGAACCAAAAGGAAGATTCTAATGAGAACGTGAGAGGGTTTAACATGGTCTGAATTTTATACAAAAGAAGATGTGATTAGTTTTCTAAGAGACAAAAGATGAAATATACACCCTCACAATCAAAACCCAGATCAAATGACTGGGTGAGTACAAAACACATCAAACGACCCCAAAGCCTTGGCAACTAACAAAGAGTACACAATGCCACCAAGCCCAAACCCCTCTCTCGACTCTCATCCATGAAATGGAGTGTAAGCAAATGAAGAAGAAAAGCAAAGAAGATTAAATTAACGAACCTCAAGATGCAATTATATTTCCTCATTTCACGTGAATAAAATTATACAAACAGAGATTTCTATTTTCCCATGTACTCAGGATTCCTCAAGTACAATAGCTTCCTCGACTGCGCTGGAGGAGCTAATCCTGGTATGTCCCTAATGTCTTTGTTATTCGGGTTTACGATCTGAAGAGAGTTTATACAACACCGAAACAAAAAGGAAAACAGAGTTACAACTTTTTTATGAGCAATCACAACTTTGATTGGAATAAGCAAAGAAAGTACCTTCACTATGATAATGGCTATAACACCGCATACGATGAGAAACAGGAACATCATTATGCATTTATCAGTAGCCACCTGAAAATAAGTAGACATAGAGAGATTCAGGTTTTGAAGTCAAGCAAAAGAGGAAATCTATGTCCAGTATTGAGGTTGCAAACCTGTCTCCCTATCTCTTTCACAAGCTGGGAGGCCTTCTTGAGTGAGAATTGAATCGTGTCCAAGTGGTTAACAACGCGTCCCATTTGATCCGTCTACAATATTTTTCAGGCAAATTGAGTGACACTGAACCCATAAGAATAATCGGGAAAGAAATAATGCTTTGCATTTTTTACCTGTCCCTTTAAGTTAGCTGCAGTTTGAGTTCCAACTTCCATTGTTTGTTCTACAACCTGAAAAAGATTAAGATAATTACAATAGATATCGTAGCAATGGCTAAGTGGGACAAAGTGGAACTCAATTCCTTTTCTAAGTCACCTGTTTAGAGCGCTCAATGGCCTGATCAGTCTCGTCCATCCTTTGCATTCCAGCATCCACAAGCTCCTGGTTTGACATAGCTATACATAAAAATGACATAAACTAGTTATAAGCACCATGCCTTTTCCGGTATTCCCATTTACTTTGTGAATCTCTTGATGTGTTAGCCACTGAATATAGAAGCATGCGCAAGGACTCACCTGAAGCCACTTGGACATTTTCTTCAGCTGTAGGTTCGCCACTGACTCCAGCTCCCATGTCGAAAAGTTCAACTTTCTTGTTGCCAAGTGTACTCATATACCTGAGATGAAGGACAAAGTTAACATGTATGAACACATAAAAACCAAACAAAATAGGGGTAAGAGATTTAAATGCATAGACAAATAATCAAGATTCTTAAAGTGCAATGATAGAAGCACTTACGTTTTTCTTAGTGCAACATAAGAATTGAGTTCCTTGATCTGTGACATTCAACGCAAGGAAAACGTTAATAAAGGAGAAGTTAAAAAATACATAAAACAAACTTATAGCATATGTAAAGTGAGAGCAATAGATAAAAAAACAAGGCTCAATCTCTGCCTTCAAATGTCCAATTTAGTTGACCAAAATGACAATTGATGATGCAAAACGGAACTGTAGAAGGTGCTAGGTTACTAATATTCCAACATTTACTTCCGTAATAGTTACATTGTACATAGTATTTAAAGAAAGGCCTCGAAGAAATTCATCAACACAGTGATGATAGCTGATAATAACTCACCATAGATTGTTTCTCATCGTTCAATTGCTTATTTACTTCAGGAGAATTTCTAATTTCCTCATCCTTGAGTTCACGGTCAAACTCCTTGACCAACCTGAGATAAAGTACACACTTCATAAGCAAATACAGACTACCGAATCATGTGAGAAACATTTGTTTATTTTCACACCAGTACGCTTTTCCTCTCATTATACAGAATTTCAAAAAGTAGAAGTAAGCACTACAATTATCAAAAGGCATATGGCAAGAATGCTTCCGAGACTTGCAATCGCATGACATACGCCATGAAGCATTTAAATAATACCTTTTACACTCTCTCATCTTCTCTGTAAGTTCCTCCAGTTGCTTGCTTTGTCTATTTGAATCCTTGATCTTATCCAACCTCTGGAAACCATTCCTGCACACAGATTAATCTTTCGTTTCAGTGAAGAACTATCTTCCCGGGGGATACTTCTATCTATCTCTTATAATCAACAAAACCATTAACCACTCAAATTCCAAAAAATCGAATCCTGTCCACTCGCATATGAGATCGAGTGATAGTAAAAAAACATCTCTATGTTCTACTTAAGAGATTGTTCAAAATAGGGAGACAAAAAAAAGCAGATAACTCAAATTCCAAACACTCTAAAATATCAAAGTGTTTCACAATCACGATAGAGAATGAGAAAATCGATTAAGATGATTTGTAAGAAAGAAAAAAAGGTAGGAGAAAGCATACGCGAGGGCTCGGAAATGGTCGCGGATTTCGCCATGGATCTGCTCCAATTGAGGGCTCATAGGAAGATTGGAAGCCATGCCGCCGGAGAAATTCAGATTCCGACGGAATATAACCGGAATTTCTCTCTCAGCCGGCGAACCCTAAAGAGTAAAAAAACACAGAAATCTCCCGCTTCCGATAACTGCTTCACCACATCAAAACAACTCCCAAAAAATTTCCCCTCACATAAAGAAAACCCTAGTTTTTCAAAAAGTGAAGTCAATCTCCAAAAACGGAAATTCAAAGATAAAATTTAAGATAGAATCTGGGTTAGGACTTTGGAAGAAATGAAAGCCTAAGCACGAAACAGAGGCAGTCGAACAACGGAAAAGGGAAAGAGAGAGAGAGAAGCTGTCAGGTGAATTTTTTTCTTTTTCTTTTCATAATTTAAATTTAAATTAAATAAAAAGCTAATCACTATTTATTTGATTTTAATTTAAATTAAATAATAAACAAGAAAAAGACAGATATTCGGTAGTTAATTAATAACAAAAAAATAGGCTTACGACAGCGCGGCGCCAACCTTTTGGTTCCCATATCCGTTGTTTGAATAAATTGAAGATTATCTCACTTTTCACCTACTAGCTACAAACACACATAAAAAAATTATTTCAATTTTCTTCAGTCTACATATATAGACAGCAAAATTTATCAAACTCTTCGATCATACAACAAAAGGAAAGAACGGTCAAATCTAAATACACATTGTTCGTTTTCTCGTTAGAAACTTGAGGATCGTAGTAGCATTAAACTAAACACTAATCGTCGTCGCTAAGATCATCATCGTACATATCAGGATTGTCTTCACCGTCACCGTCAACATTAACAGAACCGACGTAACAATTCTCCTCATCCTCCTCCTCCTCCTCCTCGTCTTCTTCATCATCGTCATCACGCTCTTCGTTCTCTACTCCATCTTCACCTTGCAAACTCTCCTCCTTCACAAAGAACTACACACAAAACATCAAACACCAATCATCACCACATTAAAATCAGCGGACTTTCGTTTAGCGTTTGGCGTTTTCAAATACCTCGTCCTTCTCCGTGGCCACGAGCCAGTCCGGGAGCAACCGATCAACCAACGCGTAGTTAAGAGCCGCCGGTGATCCGTCGTCATCCAGCCGCCGCTTCAGCTGCTTCTCTCTGAGCCTCAAGTTGTAGTGAACGTAAGTGAGATCTTTCGTTGACTTCTTCCCAAAACGGCTCTGGCATTGACCGTCCACTTGGTCGTACACGCTCCACTTCGGCTCACACCCAACAGACGAGCACGTGTGGCTCAGTATCCTAACCGCTACTCTCTGTAGCTCCAAACAGCTTATCCCATGCTGCTGCCACCACGCCGCTGGATCAATCTCTGTCCTCGTCCCAATCGCCATATCCGTCCCAAAATCGCCTTTCGCAGATGTATAATCCGGAATCTGATAACCAACAAAACCGGTTTAGCTACAACTCCAAAAGAACAACGTTTCTTGATTAGTTTTCATAAATCACCTGCATCAAAGCTGTGATTCTTCTCATATTATCCGGCTCAAGCCTAACAATACATTCGTTAACCCCACGAACAACCTCAGAATGCTGCTCATTCATTCACACCAACACCAAAAAATTAGTAAAAAACTTTACAACGGTTAAAAAACCATCAAATATTCAAATCATAATCATAAATCATTAACCATACCTACCGCCATAAAATCAGGACGATATCGATAACCAGGGTTGAAGAAGTAAGCAGCAACGTAGAGAGGATGATGAAACAGCGAGTTCCAATGGTAATCAATCACACGCCAGAACGGTCCGTACTTCCTCGCAGCATCTCCATGTATAGACTTGATCGCCATCTTCGCTCGGCACATGTAACCGTAAGCGTACGGCAGAGACAGCCTCTCGCCGCCGTCACCGTCGATCATGTGCGTCACCTGCATCACCGGCTCAACGGACTTCAAAACGTACTGAACCTTCTTCCAAAACGCAGCACCTGTCACCATCTTCTCCACTTCTCTCCCTTCCTCAGATTTGGCAGCGGTCTGCGACAAAATCCAGCCGTTGGATTGGAAAAGACCTCTGAGGCTTGCCTTGTGGTCAATAAGACTCTGGAGAGTGGTGAAACCGGAAGTGTAACGCATGACCGCTGGTCTAAGAAGATCTAATCCCTGTGTGAACTCGTTCTTCATGAGATTGAGCAGCCATGTTTGGTTGTAGATGAATCTTGTGACTCTTTGTGCCTTCTCTAAACACTCAGAGACGAACTCAAGCTTTGAGATGTCTTCAAGAACAAGCTCCGTGCAATGCATCGCGCAAGGAGTCCAGTAGAGATTCTTTCTCTTCTCTTCAAGCAACTTCCCAGCGCTTCTACAGATATGACTGTTCTGCGTAACAACCTGCACAACATTCTCCTCGCCAATGTCTTCAACTAATTTGTCCAAGTACTTGAAAAGGCTCAAAGCATCTTCCGTCACATCAGTTGCGTCGATAGAGGAGTGGAAGTAGACGCCGCGAGGGCACGACACCAAGAAGCTGATCATCGTCTTGCCCTCTGCGTTGTTCCACGTGTCAGCCATTATAGAACAGCCTGTAACCGACCAAGAAGATCTGTACTCCCTCAAGTATCCTCTGATAGTCGATATCTCCTCCTGCAACAGCCTCCCGGAGAAAAGCTGGCTCGACGGAACAACAAACCCCTCTCCGTAAAGACCGATCAGCTCAACCATCTTTTGGAAGTAGAGAGAGCTCACTGCCTCAGTTGGAACTCCAACGTGGTGGAAGAATTTGGAAATGGAGGAAGTGACTTCTTTTCTTGACACAACTCTGTTTGATGACCATATCTTCATCTGTTTGCTCGTGGAAGGTGCCTGAAGCGCTCTTTTTCTCTTCTCTTTACTAAACCTTCCGTATCCAAGCATCAACCGATCTTGACTAGCTGGATAGAAGTCATGCTCCTCTTCTCCATCTTCTTCTTGCTCGTGATCTTGAGAGACCGTTCTGTCATCATCAGGTCTGTTCTGTCTCTTCCCAGCTCGATGCCACTTCATGTTCTCCTTAATCTTCACATAAACTTCCTCAGGAGCGGCTTTACAAGGCGCCACCTCTCCAGGTATCCTCGCGAGGTGCTGTTTGAAACGGTTGATGCCGCCACTCACAATCTTGTTACAGTAATTGCATTTCACTTTCTTCTTCCTCTCGTCTTGAGCTACACCGTGTTCCCATCCTGGATCAACGTATCCTGAAGACCGGAGAAGACTCACACCATCGCCGCTCAACGCATGCTTTCCTTTGCTTCTTCTAGACCAGCCTCCTCGCCGCTCTTCTTCTTCTTCTTCCTCCACCTCGTCGTCATGGAAACTGGAGCAAGAAGAGAGTCTACTGTTGTTGTCTTCAGGTTGTCTAAGCTTTCTTGTGGAACGACACCGTTCTAGATTCTCCTTCATCCTCAGGCATACTTCCTCTGGAGACTTGTCACAGTAGGTTACTTCTCCTGATACACGAGCCAAGTGTTGCTTCAGTCTGTATATCCCTCCGCTGACTATCTTCCCACAGTAATTGCATTTCACTTTCTTCTTACGCTCGTCTTGTGCTACACCGTGCTCCCATCCGGGGTCTACTGCTCCAATCGATCCAGGTGGAGCCATTTTTTAAACCATACGCAAGCTTCACACTTTATCACTTTCCACAAAGTATAAAATTCTCTGCAGCCTCAATCTATTTAACAGACAACAAGAACACATTTTTAACAAAATGAAGAGTTTAAGAAAGAGAAGAAGAAAATAAGAAATGAGGTTATTTTATTTAGCAAATAGCAAGAAAATCAGGCAAGTGACTATACCAATTCCATTGCAGAAAATGGAAAACATCTCTAAATGGATCCTTTTTATTCCTCTAGTGGACAAAAGGAGAAAATGAAAACGAAAATCCCGCCAAGAAAGAGATATAATTATCTGTTTATGACATTCTGTTTTAAATTCCGACAACGTTGTCATCATCATTCGTATAAAGCAAGAACAAGGAAATGAACTTCGCATACCTAACGAGGCTGAGAATTTTCTGGTGCTGGCGAGTCGGAAGTTTTGTATACGGCGGAGGAGAGAGTTTCCGGTTTCGTTTTATTTCAGAATGGAGAAAATGAAGCGAAGTAGGAAGACATTGCAGGCGGCGAGGAAACGAATTTTGAGCTACGAAATCGACGAGTTTTCCGCGGAGGGGAAGGGGACGAGTCACGGGGCGAGATAGAGCTGGGTGAGGTTACGATTTAACTCGACTCGGGCGATTTCTAGGGTTTCTGTCCTTGGCTGACTCGTCGTTTTGTAAAATGAAGGTCTTGTATTTTTGGAATATTACAAAGGAGGCTCGATATAACGGAAAGCTACGTAATTAACCCTCTCATGCAAGTCCTGTCCCGTCACTTCTTTGCTCTTTCATCAATTTGGCAAAACCTAACTCAGGATTGGCCTGAAACTTGCTCTATCCATTTACGTGTTGCAAAAAACAGATTTTCATAATTTAACAATCCTAATAAGAATTTGATTTTCCAAACTATTATCTTGATGATAATCTTTAACCAAGCGAACCAAAAAAACAGAATCAAATTCCAGGCCAAAATATACTTTATTGGGTATGCGTCAAATCAATCAACCTAGTTCATTTTATTGACAACTCTGTGAACCATCAAGACTTAAACCATGAAAACCTCCAAAACATACATTAGGTGAGCCATACAAGTACAACAAGTATAATCACAGAGAGACTTTTAAAAGTTGAAGATGAACCCATTAATATGAATAAATTGTCACTGCGTCTCACAACATTATACAGAACAAAGCCCTAATCTAATCATAATTCAAAGTCTCCAGCTTTCTGCATACGATCAAACACGTTTTGAGAAGTGAACTGAGTAAAAAAACTGGAAAACAAAAAAAAGTTCACCGGAATGTGGATGATATTACAGGTCTATAATAATTCGCAAAAAGTACTCTTTTCTTGAACCCTAGAGAGCAGATCGATTATACAAATCCCTACGTACCGGAAATTTGCTGAGGGGATATTTTGAATCAGCGGTCGCTGTTCTTCCTCTTGTTAGGGTTACTATTCTCTGAATCCTTTTGCCTAAGAACAATGTCCTGAAGATTCCCTAACGCATCTTTAGCTCTCATCTTGGCCATTTTAGCATCTAGGATCTTCTTAACAGCTTCTTCCTTCAACATAGCCGCCGCATCAGTCATGGAAACTACCGCGATTTTCGACGCTGCGACCAGAGCCTTGGCCGATTTCTCATCGAGAAGCGTTCCGGAGCCATCGGTGCCGTTCCCCGAGCTCGGAACATGAGATTTGGGGAAGAAGGAGAAATTGGGGTCGGAACATGTCGGGCAGGTGAAGCTAGTAACGGAGGAGGAGGATGCGGCGAAGGAAGACGGCGGAGGAGAGCAAGAGCGGTGGGCGATGGAAGGGCAATTGACGCAGGTGATACCATCGTCTGGAGGAAGACAGCCGTTGAAGAGATCGACGCAAACAGGGCAGAAGATTTCCCGATGTTCCCTGAGCAAACAATCGGTGCAGAGTCGCCGGAAAACGCCGCTGTTGCTGACGGTGTGGATGAAGGACGGCTCTGATTCCTCGCAAACTGCGCATTGGCGTCGATTCTGTTCCGGATTCATGACTTTAGTCAACGAGATTGAGAATTCTCTCTCCCTACCTGTCGTTGAGTTTCCTTAACGGTAACCCTAAACCGAGAGAGAGAGAGAGAAAGATGAAAGAAAGAAGCGTTTGTGTTCTCAGAAATCTTGGCTCGTAGAGATCACAGAAACACAACTGTATCCTATTGGGAGTTGAAAACTTATATAGAGTAACCAAAAAATGAATTAAAAAAACGAATCTCTTCTTTTTCTTCACTGTAAATTATACATACAAAGTACAAACCCTTACGTGGATGTATATTTATGTATGTATAAATAGAAGCGAGACATAAAATCTCTGTCTCTTCATTGCTTATTGCAAACTCTTATGATTCAACAAATGCGAGAACTAAATTCCTCTCTCTCTATTCATCGTTTTCGGTTTCATACATCAAAACAACTAAATAAGAAGAAAAGACAATCTCATTCTGCAAAAAGCTTTAGCTCTGTGACTCTCCACTTCCTCAGCTTCTTGGTCTTCCACAAACGTTTTAAGAAAAAATGAAAAAGCCAAAATCAAGATCATGTCGTTTTCATTACTCTGCCAACATAAACGGGTCGACTTCTCCAAGATCTGCCACCAACGGTTCTAGTTCTGATGAATCCTCGTCTTCTGGGGCTAAGTACGTTGGAAATGGAAGCTTAGAGATGTCGGGTTTCTTGTACCACGAGTCTCTTAAGAATACAAAGTTTCCTTCTGCACCAGGAACCTGCAACAGCAAACCCAATCACAGTCATGACCTACCAAAAAAGACTCAATGACACTCACAAAGACCGGAATTCGGATTTGAGATACTTACTTGTCCTCTCACCCAGATGAGGTTCCTGGCAGGATCAATCTTGTAAACCCAAACGTTCTTTACTGTCCTCTGTTCTCCTCCCATTCTCCCAGCCATCTTTCTTCCCTTGACTACCTGCTCAACGTGTTCACAAGTCAGTACTGAGAATTGCTTTTTGACAAAAAAAACTTCACAAGAAGCAATTTGGGACATACCTTTCCCATATTATCTCTTTGACCTGTGGAACCACCGCTTCGATGCGACTTTGAAGCACCATGTGACGCCGGCCCTCCTTTGAAACCATGTCTTTTCATGACTCCCTGCAAATTACATATCCAACAAATATCCATTACATTGGCTCACTCATTTGCTATATATTTGCCACATTGTTACTTGAGACTATACACCGAAGTAAAGATCAAAGCTTTGAGAATGGTTTTTCACCTGAAAACCTTTCCCTCGAGTGATCCCAGTGACATCAACATACTGTCCCGGAACAAAATGGCGGACACCGAGTGAAGTGCCAACGGGGAGAAGAGCGTCTTCAGTCACCGGAAACTCTCTCAACTTCCTCTTTAACGGCACATCTTGAGCTCTGAAATGCCCCACCTCAGGCTTTGTCAAATGCTTCGCTTTCTTTTGCCCACATCCAATCTAACTAACACAGAACAACACATGCCAATCACATTATACGAAGTGGCATCAATATCAAGTATTCGAAATTAGATACCGACGTAAAACCACTAGCAGTTTTCCGAATACATAAAGTGGAACTAACAGCTATCACTAATCCAGCAGAGATACACTACATTTGCGAAAAATGGAAAATTTATGAAACTGCGATGGAATTACCTGTAGCGCGAAAATCCCTTCCTTCTCAATAGTTTTGACCTGAGAGACGATGTTGTCATCGACCCAAAGAATAGAAATGGGAACCCTAGCTCCCCATTTGTCCCACAGCGCAGTCATCCCACACTTGACGGCGATGATCCCGGTCCTTTTCGATCTCGGAGACATCTCGCCGGGTTTCGCCTCTATGATTCGGGTCGGAGCCCCGGAAATATCAGATCCACCATCGTCGACCAACCCAGACTCGGCGCTGAATCGTCGGAGGAGAAAGAAGCTACTATGGGGAAGAGATTCGGAGAATGAAGGAGTCGTCGACCGGATTGACAGAAACTGACTGATGCGAGAAATGAGGCCTCTCGGTACGGCCGCCATGATTTCGAATCGGAGCGACCTTCAATGGTGTGAAGATGGAAAAGAGATGCAGAAACCGGAAGTCGGAGGCTTTTGCGTAGGGTTTTAGATGAGTGTGAAATGTTACAAATCCTCTAGCTCAAAGAGAGAGTCTAAAATGATGTTTTTTAATTTATTTATTTTTCCCTCTTTTTTAAGTAAATAAATATGTGGACGACGACGACAGCACAAAATCCTACGTGGCTTATCCATTGCTGCAGAAAAAAAAAATGCAACGGTGCAAAAACACAAATCTTCTAGAAGTTCGTTCATCAATCTTTGCCGCAATTCAAAATCTCAAATGTCTGTAATTCGTCCTCCTCCAATTCCAATCCCGAGATGCAGATCCCAGACAGTGTATCGCCGTCTTCATTCGATCCACTTGATTCAGCACCACCACCAACGACGTCGACGGTGGGATCCGAGGTCGGAAGCGAGCGATACTTCCGTTGAATCGGCGGCACGGTCTCCGGAGGCGGCGGGAGGGAAAATGGTGGTGGAGCTTGTTGGAGCCTTCAACGAAGTGACGGAGAGGATGAATTCGGTTTGGTTGTCGACGTCTTCGTCTAGGCTACTCTTTAAGGCTCTCAAGCTCTCAATTCCGATCTTACAGTCTCTCCCTCTTGCCTCTGACGGTCGCTCTCCCCTCTCTAAGGCTCTCTCGCTCTCCATCATCCTCGCCGATCTCCAGGTTCGTTTCTCCTCTGCATCCTCACAGTTTCCTGCTTAGATGATTAGGTTCTGTGGCGAGAATTGGAAGAAATTAGTGTTCGGGAAACTCGAAAATTGAAGCATAATTGGAAGAAATTAGTGTGATTTCTCACTCAATGTACACATAGAAAATGACGACGAAGTTATTGGTTAGTTGCTTACAATGTGTTTGCTCATCAGGAAACAAAAATCTGTCAATTGATATTTTGAGCAGATGGATGCAGAAGTGATCTCGGCGAGCATATTGAGTGAAGTGGTGGAGGCAAACGCGATATCCATATACGAAGTGAGAGACCATATTGGTACTGGAACTGCTCATCTTCTCCACGAGATCTTCCGCGTGAAGAACATCCCTTTCAAAGTCGATGTCTTGGACGACGAAACCGCTGCTTCCCTGAGAAAGTTCTACCTCACGTACTACGACATACGAGCTGTGATCATGGATCTTGTTTCGAAGCTCGATGAGATGAGGCATTTGGATCACTTGCCAAGGTATCGCCAGCAGACTCTCTCCCTGGAAGTGTTGAAGATCTATTCTCCTCTAGCTCATGCCGTGGGGGCTAATCACCTGTCACTTGAGCTCGAGGACATCTCTTTCCGCTATCTTTTCCCGTGTTCGTATATATACTTAGATTCATGGTTGAGAAGTCACGAGAACGGGTCTAAACCGTTGATAGACGTGTATAAAGAGCAGCTTCATGAGTCTTTGAAGGCTGATTTGGTTTTATCCGGAATGGTTGGTGATGTACATGTGAAAGGGCGGTATAAAAGCCGGTACAGCATGATGAAGAAACTCCTTAGAGACGGGCGTAAACCGGAAGAAGTGAACGACGTGCTTGGTCTTCGGGTCGTACTGATGCCAAATCATGTGGGAAACGATGTTGAAGTTGGCGAAAAGGCGTGTTACAGAGCAGGAGAGATTATTCGATCCCTGTGGAAGGAGATTCCGCATAGAACGAAAGACTACATTGCTCGGCCAAAAGAGAATGGGTATAGGAGCTTACACATGGCGGTTGATGTTAGCGACAGTGATCAGATAAGACCTCTGATGGAAATACAAATACGGACGATGGATATGGATGGATCTGCTAACGCTGGAACAGCATCGCATTCTCTTTACAAAGGAGGCCTTACCGATCCAAATGAGGTAAGCTCTTCTGTTTTTTGTTTGGCAAGCAAGAAGATAACTTTGGAGATTTAGCTGTTTGTTTGAAATCTGTGTGTAGGCAAAGCGGCTTAAGGCGATAATGATGGCAGCGGCGGATCTAGCAGCGATTCGTCTCAAAGATCTCTCATCCAACAAACAACAAAGTCTCAAGACGACAATGAACCAGAGAGACAGAGTGTTTTGCCTTTTGGACAAAAACGGCGACGGAATGATCAGTATAGAGGAACTAATGGAAGTGATGGAAGAGCTTGGAGCTCCAGGTGAAGATGCAGAGGAGATGATGCAACTTCTTGACTCTAACAGCGATGGATCTCTTAGCTCAGACGAATTCGATACATTTCAGAAACAAGTCCGTTGTCTTTTTTATTATCTTTTTCTCACATTTTGCTTTACATTTCTTCTCTCTTTTATGATTAATGATTGATGGGGTTTGTGTTTTGCAGGTTGAGTTCATGCGTAAATGGGAAGATAGAGATAACGAGTACAAAAGTCTTTTAGATGAGAAACTCCATGATCTCCCGCATCAAGATACGACCGGTTTAATTCAGTTGTACAACAAAGAGCTTGAGGACCGGCTCTCTGACCATTAAACTACCAAACCACATTTTTTCTACAATGTGTATAATTAATTTATCATATATCCAAAGGTAAATCTTTGTATTTGTTTGTTATCTATTGTTTACATAGATTGAGATAACATAATGAACCATACTATTTCTCTATATAAGGAGACAAATACAGAATAGTCTTATCAGTGTCTATTATGATAAGATTAAAATCTAGACTTAATAAAATTGTGTTCTTATCACTATCTACACATTCACACGCATTACTAATCCCTTTTTAAAAGGAGAACTATCAATTAGAAACTCGGAGAAGAGGCAGGAAGCCAAGAAGCTAAAGAAGTCGATTGTTCAGAGCCCTAGTTACATCGTTTACTTCTTCCTTGTGAGATCACAACGATGAGTTTGCGATCTTCTCTCATGTCTGATCTTCCATGTGAACTGGTCGAGGAGATACTTTCTAGGGTTCCGGCTACATCTCTAGAACGATTACGATCTACTTGCAAACAATGGAACACTTTATTAATGATCATAGATTCATCAAGAAGCAATTTAATAAAGCACCAAAGGAGTATTTTGATATACTGTTGAGAGATAAGAGGGTTTCTTCGATGAGTGTCAATCTCCATGGACTTCACGACGACATGGATCCAATTATAAAGCTTAATAAGGAATTTAGCCTAACTAATCTCCATTATAATTTAGCTAAGCTCGATTATTTTGAAGTCTTTCACTGCAACGGACTATTGCTATGCACCAACAGGGACAATGTCCATGTTTGGAACCCGTGTACGGGTCAAACCGAATGGATCCAAGCCAGAAGTGTTAACTCTTTAAACCAGAACTATGCTCTTGGATACGAAATCAACAAACTCCAGAATTACAAAATGTTGAGGATCTTGCACAGACAAACTTTTGAGTTGGAAATCTACGAGTTTAACTCTTGTTCATGGAGGGCTCTTGATAGTGTTACTCCAGACTTCCAGCTAGAAAGAGATGGTATTTCTGTAAAGGGGAATACTTACTGGCTCGCTTCCGATAAGGAATTAGAAGAAGATGACGGTGAAGAAATAGACGAAGAATCAAACCAATATTTCTTAATAAGTTTTGATTTTACAACAGAGATATTTGGGCCACATATCTGCCTTCCGTTTACTGGTTATTTATATAGGGACACATTGTCTTTATCTTCTGTAAGAGAAGAGGAGCTTTCGGTGTTGTTTCAGGACGATGTGGCATTGACGTTGGAGATATGGATAACAAACAATATCACTGAGACCAATGCCTTGTCTTGGAGCAAATTTTTTAAAATTCATTTAAACATTACTCCACCGTTTTTGAATTGTGTATCGTCTTTTTTCATCGACGAGGAGAATAAAGTCGCTGTGTGTTGTGATGACGTAGCCGGCGGTGGCGTCAACACCATTGTATTCATTATTGGAGAAAATAGATGGACACAAGTGGATCTTGGAGTTGGAGAAGGAGATTTTTTTTCACGTCTGTTCAGTTATGTTCCAAGTTTGGTTCAAATCTAGCATACATATCTAGAGATTAGTCAGTTTTTAATATAATTTACATTTCTTGAATCTCTTATTTTGTTTCTTTGTTTTCCCTTCTCATGTTCTTTGATTAATGAATAAACTTTTCTCGTTTTCTACCTAGCTCATCCTGCTTTAATTTATGACCTTTTTCTTCTATGCATTTCTTTCAAAATTAAAAACAACTAGGTGAGTAGTAAGTACCCGCGCGGGTTGTTTCTTGTTTTAAAACATTTTCTGCTTCTATGATTAATTCTCTGAGTTGAGTTTTAGACATTGTGAAAGACTTTGTCTTAGAAACTTAAATATTGCAGAAACTGTATTCATGTACAGTGATAAAAGTTCATATTCAAAAGAAACGTGTGGGAGAAGGAAGGTAGAGAGGTGATGTTTTTAGTGTCCAATAATGTTATATGTAGAGTCTGTCATTGCCCATCTTCGTCTCCAGTTCTGATATGGTTCTACAAAAATTGATAAAGATAGTTTTTAGAGAAAATAGCCATAGGAGAATTCTCATCTTGTGATAGTACAATGATTACACATATGATAGAATGCTTGTCAACTATGCCCCCTGTGTATTTCTTAAAATTTCTCATATAACATTAGGAGGGACTTACAAATACCAAACATGATAAATATTGGAGATGCGATGATAACTTTCAGGTATTGTAGTAAACTCCATAACATGATATAAAACTCCAGTTTACCATTTGCTAACATGGCAGTGCGATCCTTTGCTATCTATAGTTATATATTTATAAGACTGGCTGTAGTGTAAATAGTTCCGGATTTCAACCCAAACCTCTAAAAATAGTGTAGCGACATGAGTATAGGAACTAAGCATGCGGGAGATCATGGAGTATTATATCTCTTAGTACGACCGGTTTAATTCAGTTATACAACAAAGAGCTTGAGGACCGGCTCTATGACCATTAAATTACCCAACCACATTTTTCTACAATTAAATCATCATACTGTATGTCTTTTTTTTTTTTTTTTGGACAACAAATTATCATATATCTAAACGTATATCTTTCTATTTGTTTGTTGTCTTGTTTCTTTTTCTTTTGTCTTGTCAACTTTATCTATTGTTTACATAGATTTGTAAGTGCGGATAGGTCTATACGTTCATGAGTAATGAGCATGTACGAGCACAATGTAAATAAAACAAGTTTTTTAACGAGGTTTGTTTCCTACATTCTTGGGACCTAGTCCAGATCAAATCCATTAGAACAAGAGTACAATTACATATGATATCCAACACTACTACAATGCTTACCATTCTTTTTTAGATGGATATATACTATGAAGATAGATATCAACTTCGCATGATTGACTATCATCCACCGTCTTTGTATCGGTTGCGATCTTCATATAGATAAATCACCAAGCAGATCTACAAATCTCTATGGTGGGACGACGCCATACACACATGTGTGCATTTCTCAAACAATACCCTAGGCGAGTCAGTCGTCTTCGTGAGACCGCCTTGGTATTTATATCCAAGTGCCAAAAGCCCTAGACGACTTAAGTCACGCTTCAAGTCTCTACAAGCAGATGGGCTTTATCTGTAGTCAAGGCCCGCGACCTTTCTTTACTTTTGGTACAAGGCGGAACTACTTTCCCCTTTTCTCCTTAGCAAGCAAGCTTTCCATATGTTGATCACGTACATTTTTTTTTTTTTTTTTTTTTTTTTTGAATTACTAAGAGGTTCGGGGCCGAAGCCCGTACATCCCCTTAGGCCCAAAAACCACAGCATGTAATATTGGTTTCGTCCTAAGCGGCACTCGATCTTGTGACCTCTAAGCTTTGCCTAGAATCACGTACATATTGTTCTCTTAGATATGTTTCTCAAATCAATCAGCAACAACACTTTCAAGATTGAGATAACATAATGAACCATATGATAAGATTATCTACCTATTTCTCTATATAAGGAGATAAATCCAGAATATCATGTCTAGATTTAGTCTTATCAGTCTATTATGATAAGATTAAAATATAGACTTAAGTAAAAATTATGTTCTTATCTCCTAATACTCTACACATTTGACACGCATTACTAATCCCTTTTAAAAAGGAGAACTATAGATTAGAAAGGAGAAGAAGCCAAATAGGTCGATTGTTCAAAGCTCAAACTTGCAGCCCTTTTATTTACATCGCTACCTTCTTCTTTGTGAGATAACAACGATGAGTTTACGATCTTCTCTCATGTCTGATCTTCCATGTGATTTGGTCGAGGATATACTTTCTAGGGTTCCGGCTACATCTCTAGGACGATTACGATCTGCTTGCAAACAATGGAACACATTATTCAGTGATCATCAAGAAGCAATTTGATAAAGCACCAAAGGAGTATTTGGATATACTGTTGAGGGATGATAGGGTTTCTTCGATGAGTGTCAATCTATGTGGACTTGACGACAACATGGATCCATCTATAGAGCTTAAGAGGGAAATTAACCTAAATGATCTCCATTATAATTTACCTAAGGTCCCTTATTTTGAAGTCTTTCACTGCAAGGATTATTGCTATGCACCAACAGAAGCAATGTCCATGTTTGGAACCCGTGTACGGGTAAATCAAATGGATCCCAACCAAAAGTGTTGACTCTAAACACCAGAAGTATGCTCTTGGATTCGAAAACAACAAATCAAGCAAAAATTTCAAAATCTTGAGGGTCTTGTATGATCAAGGTTATCAAACTTGGGAGTTGGAAATCTACGAGTTTAACTCTAATTCATGGAGGGTTCTTGATAGCGATAATCCAGACTTCCAAATAAACAGAGATGGCATTTCTTTAAAGGGAAATACTTACTGGTTCGCTGGGGGCAACGAAGAAGACGAAGATTTAACCAACTGTTTCTTGATAAGTTTTGATTTTACAACTGGGAGATTTGGATCACATATTTGTCTTCCGTTTAATGGTTATCGTTTTAGGGATACACTCTCACTATCTTCTGTAAGAGAAGAGGAGCTTTCGGTGTTGTTTCAGCACGAAGAAGAATTGACGCTGGAGATATGGATCACAAACAATATCACCGAGACCAATGCCTTGTCTTGGAGCAAATTTTTTAAAATTGATTTAAACACTACTCAACGGTTTTGGAATGGTGTATATTTTTTCATCGACGACGAGGAAAATAAAGTCGCTGTGTGTTGTGATGACGTAGTTGGCGATGACGTCAACGGCATTGTATACATTATTGGAGAAGATAGATGGACAGAAAAGGATCTTGGAGAAGGAGTATACGTTTGTTTTCAACGTCTGTTCCGTTATGTTCCAAGTTTGGTTCAAATCTAGCATAATTATCTAGAGATTATTTAGTTAATTTAAACATAATTTCATCGCTTGAATCTCTTTTCATTAATAATGCATGGATTGATTGATATCTCTTCTTTTTCTTCTATGCATTTTTCTCAAATCTTCAGATAATTTTCAACCATGCTAAAAAACTCATTCAATGTAGCATCATAAGTTGATAGGGCTTGAACTAACGGGGTATTTCATGAGAAAACTGAGCTTAACCACTCATATTTAAAATTATCTGCAATTGAAATGGCTACACATAGCATTTTGTGGAGACAGAGAAATCAAGGGTGTCCTCTGTTCCGGATGTATTCCAATTCAACAAACATTCAATCATATGCTTAATTGTTTTGTGAGAAATTTTCATAACTACACAGCTATGATGTCAATTTTCAAAATTACACTTTTTCTAAATATAACTATATTTAAATTTGGATTCACTAATTCTTAACTAGGGTTTAGATTTTGAGATTTAGGGCTTAGATTTAAATGTTTAAGGTTTAGGGTTTCGTTTTGGGTTTAGCATTCTTCAACTCAATGAAAAAAAATGTAGTTTTAAAAATAAAAATTGTAGAGATGTAATTTTAAAAATGTACAACTAAAATGTTATAGTTTTGAAATTTCCCTTTATTTTGTAGGCAGACTAATTATCGACAAATTAAATATTAATTTTTTGAAGAAAAATTAATACTTAAAGTACATTGCAACTTGCAAGGCTAATTTGGAGATATATATCAAAGTCCATTTTGACCATAATTTGTGGGTTAAAAGTGTAGTATATTAGTCCACTTTCTTTATTCCTTTTTACTTTTTTTCTTTAGTGTAAAATTAGTAAATAGAAAAATAGAAAGAGGTTTGAAGGGGAAGACTGGTACCGGTGCACACCGCAAACGTGTGAAGTCAAAACCCTAATTTATGTTGTTATCTCCTAATACTCTACACCAGGACACGCATTACTAATCCCTATTTTAAAAGGAAACTATAAATTAGAAACTACAGAAGCCAAAGAGGTCGATTGTTCATTGTTTTTAGGTCTGTGTATGACGAGCAAGTCAGAGCCCTAATCTCAAACTTGCAGCCCTAATTCCATCGTTTCCTTCTTCCTTGTGAGATCACAACCGTGAGTTTACGGTCTTCTCTCATGTCTGATCTTCCATGTGATTTGGTCGAGGATATACTTTCTAGGTTCCAGCTACATCTCTAGAACGATTACGGTCTACTTGCAAACAATGGAACACATTGTTCAATGATCATAGATTCATCAAGAAGCAACTTGATAAAGCACCAAAGGAGCATTTGGATATAATGTTGCGGGACGATATGGTTTCTTCGATGAGTGTCAATCTCCATGGACTTCACGACAACATGGACCCATCTGTAAAGCTTAATAAGGAATTTAGCCTAACTAATCTCCATTATAGTTTAGCTAATGTCTCTTCTTTTGAAGTCTTTCACTGCAACGGATAATTGCTATGCACCAACAGGAGCAATGTCCATGTTTGGAACCCGTGTACGGGTCAAACCAAATGGATCCCAACCCAAAAGTGTTGGCACTAAACATCAGAAGTATGCTCTTGGATTCGCAAACAACAAATCAAGCGAAAACTACAAAATCTTGAGGGTATTGCATTATGATGAAACGCTTGAGATGGAAATCTACGAGTTCAACTCTGGTTCATGGAGGGTTCTTGATAGCGATAATCAAGACTTCAAAATACACCAATGTGGCATTTCCTTAAAGGGAAATACTTACTGGCTCGCTTCCAATAACGAAGATGATGAAGAAGATTTAACCAAGTATTTCTTAATAAGTTTTGATTTTACAACAGAGAGGTTTGGGACTTTGGGTCACATATCTGCCTTCCGTTTGATGGTTATACTATCTATACATTGTCGTTATCTTCTGTAAGAGAAGAAGAGCTTTCGGTGTTGTATCAGCACGAATTGGTATTAACGCTTGAGGTATGGATAACAAACAATATCACCGAGACCAATGCCTTGTCTTGGAGCAAACTTTTTGAAATTGATTTAAACACTACTCAACTGTTTTTGAATGATGTATATTTTTTCATCGACGAGGAGAATAAAGTCGCTGTGTGTTGTGAGGGAGTCAGCGATGACTTCAACAGTATTGTATACATTGTTGGAGAATATAGAAGGATAGAAATGGATCTTGGAAGAGGAGAATACGGATGTTGTCAACGTCTGTTCAGTTATGTTCCAAGTTTGGTTCAAATCTAGCATAATTAGTATCATCTAGCACTAGTTAGTTTTTAAAGTACTCTCATCTCTCGAATCTTTTATTTTGTTTCTTTGTTTTCCCTTCTCATGTTCTTTAATCTAATACCAATAAAACAGAAGTCACCTCATGGCTTATATGAATGACACGTGTCATTGGAATTTGTTTTCTTATTTATTTTGTTTTCGATGGTTTTTTCCATGTTTTTATTTTCCTTTTTTTTCCCGAAATTTCTTTTTCTCCTCCACGAGAACACGATCTCGAAACCGCTATCATTTCACCACACGATCTTTAAACTCGAAAACCCACTTTTACCATGAATCTCTCACATCTGCAGAGACAAACGAAACCACCCTCTGTGTTTTTATTTTTCTTAATCTCCAAATTCATCTTCCTCCTTTACAAATCAGATTAATTTTCTGGGCTTTGACGGAGGAAAAGTCGGATTCCGATGGTCGACGTTGGGGGTTATTCAAGCCTTCCCTTGCGAAACTCCAATGGTCAAGCTAGCTTAGCTCTCCCTCCTCCTCTTCCATGGCTACTCACCAATCTCGCCATTTTGGCTATAACGGACCTCCTGTCGTCGAAGGATTGGGTCAAAACCATCATCAACCCGCCGCGACGAATGTCATATGTCGTGAGATCACGTCTTCCAGTTAAACGCCGATTGAAGCTTGATCCTTCAGCAAAACTCTACTTCCCTTGTGAGTTACTCGAATCTCACCACCATTGAATCCTTTTTTCTCTCATCTCTTCGATTTCTTAAATCAGTCTCATATTCCATATGACCAGAAATTTCTGGATTCATATTACATTTTCTCAGATTCATCACTAAAATTTTGTGGCTTTGATCTCTAATTCTGTTTATCTCTATTTCTCAGTTTCACAAGTTACTTAGGCATCTTATTTCATACTCATTTCAGTGCTTTATCTCATTTACCTACTGTTTGATTCTGTCAACATGTCTTAGGTTAATCATGGCCTTGATGTCTCGAATTTGGGGTTTTCATCAACAAGATAAACCTGACTTTATTCCACGTCAAGGTAATCATCTTCCAACTTCATATGAGCTCTCCTCTAATTCTATTTTTACCAAACTGTTTTAGTGTGTTCTATCCTTCGCCAGAGGTTCTTTTAACTTTGGTTTAGTAACCGTTTTTCTTTTAATTTTGCAGGGTTTATATATCTTGGAAGTCATCTTCGTGGAAGTCAACTATGAGTTCTGGCGTTTATGCAAAAAGGTACCCACGAGTATATCGATGGCTTGATTTGTTATAGTATGCTTTTCTTTTGTTTACAAATCTAATCTTCGATTACAATGGTTTATGTGACAGGAAGATATGATTCAAACCTCTGTAAAACAGAGTTTGGTTAAAAAGTTCAAAAAAGAATTGAAAGAAGGATCATTGTCGTGATATCACGAATTTTGAAGTTTTGACGATTACCAGGGAACCGCAAACTCACAATCGTTAAGCTAATGTTGATGATGTTTTCATTGGTATGGTACTTTTCTTATATAGATATATATATGTTTTTTAACCATTACTGCAATCAATTTTGATCAAATTGGAGACACAAAACCTTATTTGGGTCAAATTCAAAATATTAAAGCTCCATTTTATCTAATACCCATATATATACTTTGTTTTAATGTTACAATTTATTTTGGTTTTATGCTGAGTTCATACAGATCAGATCACTTAAATTGGTGTGCAAATGAAAATCATGTCAAAATAAGTTTGACGATGTGTTTTTTTTTGTTTTTTAGGTTCTTGGAAACTATCAACACACGATTATAGAACAACGCAAGGGCTCATCAAACTTTCTCTATTTCTAAACGAATGGTATTCTACATTTCCTGCTTTCTTTTCCTGTGACAATTTTAATCGTTGGTGTTTCGCATTTTTGATCTTTGGGATTTGAATTAAGCTGTTGCAGAAAGCTTTAAAAACATATCAGTACAAGTTCTTCTTCTTTCTATTATTGTGATACTACCAAGAAAACAATTTTTTGCCCTAAATACAAAAGTCTGTTTTTTTTGTAGTCTTGAGTATCGTTAGCTGGTCTTCGTTTCCCAGTTCAAGGGTTGAGATTACCTTGGTGGTTTTCTTTTGATAACGTGGTTTATTGATTTGTCTGCAGGTCATGAACGAAAATGGTCTTTCATTATCATGACAGCGATATACCCAACTCGGAACTACCGTAAAAAAGAGAAGTTTTGCCCGAGTTATATCAAATCATAATTTGTTCTTTGTCTCTTTAAACAGTTTACCTTTTCACCATCAATATTCTGCTATTTCCTCTTCTTGATTTTTTACTGTGCATCTTTTTCTATTTATTGTATGTTCATTTCATCACCGAAAAAGTTGTAAATGTTTCCTTTTTTTCACGTGAACTCAAGTTTTTATCTTTGGATCAATACCATACCACCCAAGTTTTTATCGTTGCTCAATCCATATATTGTTATGTTATTTTCTATTTCTAAGTTTCCTTTCAGCATTAAGCCTTAATTAGTTGATGTTTGCGTTGATGACTTGATGCATGAAAGGTTTTATTTAGTTTTCTACAATCTAAACTTTTGTCATTTTACAATTAAAAGAGATTAGGTGTATCAGATTTTTAACTCTTCTTCTTTGTATAGAATGTGTTGTAGTTTTCTTGGAAAGGTATTTATGGATTGAAACACTTTATTATCTCCCTTACAAAAAAATCAATTGTGCTAAAACTACTATTTGGTTGAAGAAATACAATAAAATTAAATAATTTTTTCGGTGCATAGCACCGGGCAGAATACTAGTTAATGAATAAATTGATTCATCTTTTCTCCTTTTCTAAGTAGCTCATTCTGCTTTATGGCGTTTTTCTTCTACGCATTTCTTTCAAAATTAAAAACAACTAGGTGAGTACTAAGTACCCGCGCGGGTTGTTTCTTGTTTTAAAACATTTTCTGCTTCTATGATTAATTCTCTGAGTTGAGTTTTAGACATTGTGAAAGACTTTGTCTTAGAAACTTAAATATTGCAGAAACTGTATTCATGTACAGTGATAAAAGTTCATATTTAAAAGAAACGGGTGGGAGAAGGAAGCTAGAGTGGTGATGTTTTTTTTTAGTGTCCAATAATGTTATATGTAGAGTCTGTCATTGCCCATTTTCGTCTCCAGTTCTGATATGGTTCTACAAAAATTGATAAAGATAGTTTATAAGCTTGATAAACGAGGAGAATTTCTCATGTTGTGATAGTACAATGATTACACATGCATGATAGAATGCTTCTCAACTATGCCCCCAAAAATAAGCGTATATACAAACTCACAATGTAACATTAGGAGGGACTCACAAATACCAAACATGATAAATACTGGAGATGCCATGATAACTTTCAGGTATTGTAAAACTCCATAACATGATATAAAGTCCAGTTTACCATTTGCTACCAAACCACATTTTTCTACAAAAATGTATTATTAATTTATCATATATCCAAAGGTAAATCTTTCTTTATTGTTTGTTGTCCTTTTTTTTGTCCTGTCAACTTTATCTATTGTTTACATAGATTGAGATAACATAATGAACCATATGATAAGATAATCTACATATTTCTCTGTATTAGGAGATAAATACAGAATAGTTTGTCTACGATTTAGTCTTATGAGTATATTATGATAAGATTATAAAATCTAGACTTATTAAAATAAAATTATGTTCATATCTCCTAATACTCTACACCTGGACACACATTACTTATGCCCCTATTTAAAGGAGAAATTATAGAGGCCAAAGAGGTCCCATTGTTCATTTTGTTTTGCTTATGTAAGACGAGCAAGTCAGATCCCTAAATCTCAAACTTGCAGCCCTTTTACTTACATCGCTTCCTTCTTCCTTGTGAGATCACAACGATGAGTTTACGATCTGCTATCATGTCTGATCTTCCATTCGGTTTGGTCGAGGATATACTTTCTAGGGTTCCAGCTACATCTCTAGAACGATTTCGATCTACGTGCAAGCAATGGAACGCATTATTCAGTGATCATAGATTCATCAAGAAGCAACTTGATAACGCACCAAAGGAGTATTTGGATATACTGTTGAGGGACGGTAGGGTTTGTTCGATGAGTGTCAATCTCAATGGACTTCACGACAACATGGATCCATCTATAAAGCTTAAGAAGGAATTTAGCCTAACTAATCTCCATTATAGTTTAGCTAATGACGTCTCTTCTTTTGAAGTTTTTCACTGCAACGGATTATTGCTATGCACCAACGAGAGCAAGGTCCATGTTTGGAACCCGTGTACGGGTCAAACCAAACGGATCCCAACCATAACTGTTTACACTAGACACCAGAAGTATGTTCTTGGATTCGAAAACAACAAATCAAGCAAAAATACCAAAATCTAGAGGGTCTTGTACGATGAAAGTTATCAAAATTTCGAGATGGAAATCTACGAGGTTAACTCTAATTCATGGAGGGTTCTTGATAGCGATAATCCAGACTTCCAAATAAACAGAGATGGCATTTCTTTAAAGGGAAATACTTACTGGCTCGCTTCCAGTAACGAAGAAGACGAAGAAACAGTTGACTGTTTCTTAATAAGTTTTGATTTTACAATGGAGAGATTTGGGTCACCTATTTGTCTTCCTATTACTGGTTGTTTTCATACATTTTCACTATCTTCTGTAAGAGAAGAGGAGCTTTCGGTGTTGTTTCAGCACGAAGAAGAATCAACGCTGGAGATATGGATCACAAACAATATCACTGAGACCAATAATGCCTTGTCTTGGAGCAAATTTTTCAAAATTGATATAAACGGTTTTCAACGGTTGTGGAATGATGTATATTTCTTCATAGGCGAGGAAAATAAAGTCGCTGTGTGTTGTGATGACGTAGCCGGCGGTGGCTTCAACACCATTTTATTCGGCGGTGTCGCCAACATTGTATACATTATTGGAGAAGATAGATGGACAGAAAAGGATCTTGGAGGAGAATACGGACGTTGTCAACGTATGTTCCGTTATGTTCCAAGTTTGGTTCAAATCTAGCATAAATATCATGCATCTAGCACTAGTTAGTTTTTAAAATAATTTCATTTCTCCAATCTCTTATTTTGTTTGTTTCTTGGTTTTCCCTTCTCATCGTGTTCTTTGATTAATGAATAAACTGATTGATCTTTTCTCCTTTTCTACCGAGCTCATCCTGCTTTATGGCCTTTTTTCTTCTATGCATTTCTTTCAAAATTACAAATAATTATACACTCTACTAAAACTCATTCAGAGTATGTAGCATCATATGTTGACAGCATCGTATGGTATGTATGCAACCCATTTGGAATTCAATCTTATGTAAACTTTATATACAAGTATGAACTATACATATGTATGAAGAGATTTTCTTGGAATTTGGCTACTGGGCCGATTAGGCACATCAAATATAAAGAGCAAATACAAAGGTAGCGAGAGACTAAAAAGCCTCTAATCCTTGAGACTAGAGGTAATTTTTCTTTTCTTCACCTTCATGCAAATATTTGCACTATATTATAAAATGAAAATATTATGAACATCGATGGTGTCATAAATTAGTCGACTATTTTCTCTTTAGGCGAAAACACCAACACCTATGTACTAACTTACTAACTCTTGCTCCGGCGAGGAAGTGCCCACCTCTTTTAATAGTCTTTCGTACAACTGCCACCAAACCAAAAGTTTCAAATTAATCATTTTTATATTTACTATTCTTGTTTTTTTCTTTATTAATCAAAACTGAAAATAAAAAGAGTAAGAGACACCATTGAACTATATAAAGAAGTGACAATATTAGCTTACCTGTCTATATAAACATGAATCGCCACAAGATTTTCTTAGCTCAACCACGTTCAGTGACGGCTTTATCTCGAAAACCTGTTTTGTATTGACAAGAAGTTCTTTGATTAGTCAAATATAATCACTAACTAGTCTATTACTATAGTGAAATATTATTATGTAACAATTAATATACCTCAGCTGTTACTGATAAACCAACTTGACCTTTCTGGCTTGTTTCTTCTTGCTTAACTTTTAACTGAAAAAGAAAATTTACATTCTTTAAAGGTTATGAACTCTACAAACCTAACATGCCAAGAAGCTAACGACGAACAAGAACATGTTGTGAAGACTCACCTTGGCATGTTTCTTTTGTACACTGAAACCCATTTCTTTAACGGCTGTTTCGATTTTCTCCAGTAAATCTCTTGCTGAGCTATTTGAGGTGAATCTTATTCTCCTCTCTGATACATTCTGAGAATGAAAAGTATAACTTTCTATTATTAGACATTGTTTCAAAGCAGAGGACACATCTTTGAAACAGAGTATAGACCCTTTACCTCAAGTTCAAAGAAACCGGACAGGTCAAGAAAGGAAGACATTCCGATTAACTGAAACGCATTGATGATGGTCGGTGAATCACTGCCCTTCCCTTCTTCAGATCCCTACATCATTCAAAAACGAAAACAGAGAATTAAGCACATGGCAACTTGAATCAAATTGCAATTTCGATAGAGAGTGAGGCGACAGATTCTTACGAGTTCTTGGATTGAGAAAGCATCATCGTCTGTGTCGACTTCTTCTTCGTCATCATCATCATCATCGGGAATTGAAGGTGTGTATTCGTGCTTGAACCACTCGTTGGCTTTAATACCTGTGACTGTGATCCTCGTGACTGGATTTGGATCGAGCATTCTCTTGATCATGGTTCTTGCACCTGGTGACAACCATCTTGGTATTGGTGGGTCTCCTTTGCATATCTGGAAGAAAACATAACAAAACAAAAAATTTAAATCTTTGCTCAAAGCTTGTTTCTTGAAAACGTATGCCAAATTGATAATATCGGAGAGAAAGAAGATGTGGTTGTTTACCTTCTGGTAGAGAACTGCAAGGTTTCTATCGTCAAAAGGAAGACATCCGGTTAGAATCACATACAAGATCACACCGCATGACCATATATCTGATGCTGCACCATCATATCCTCTGTTTGCTAACACCTCAGGCGCAACGTAATTAGGACTTCCACAAGTGGTATGTAGCAATCCATCATCCTAAAATGCCAAACGAAAAAAGAAGGTTGGATCATCGATTCAATTTCAACATTGCTCTTTCTGCTGATGTTAATAGTTTAAGTTGATGCTTCCAAGTACCCTAAAATGCTGAGGCAGAGCACTAAGGCCAAAATCAGTGATCTTTATATGTCCCTTTGCATCAAGAAGAACATTCTCTAGCTGCAATGTAGAGAACATTTGAATATCAGAGATATATAAATCATAAACGTTTCATGGGTTTAGAAAACACGTGAGAAGCACGGACCTTGAGATCCCTGTGGAAAACACCTTTGCTGTGACAGTAGCTGATTCCATCGATGAGCTGCTGAAACATTTTTCTTCCCTCGGTTTCTGTTAGCTTTCCTTTCGAGACCTGAGAGAGATCAGATAGTGTGTGAGTTCAAGCTTATGAAATACACTCGTGAGTGGAAAGAACAGCTTTGCTTGCAGCAGAAGTTAATGATGAGTCTTACAATTCTGTCAAACAATTCTCCTCCGGTGACACATTCCATCACCATATTAATCTTCGTTTTGCTAGCCAAGACCTGCATGATGACACATAACGAAGCGGCTCATTAGTTTTTAGAAAGATAACATAAATTAAAGAGTAGGTAACCACAACACGACATAGTTAGTCGGGACCTCAAGCTTAAAACGTGGACCACGTGTATCTAATATGTGAATTACAAATACACAATCGGTTGCTTAAAACCAAGAAAGTCAAAGATTTAAACTCTTGTAACAAGGCAAAGCAATCAGAGGAATTAAGTCAACAATAAACGTCCTCCACTTTTTTAACCCAAGAGTACAGCAATATCCAAATAAAGAACAATCCGAATTTAGATAAATATTAATGCAATAAAATCATATACTACTAAAAAAAAGGATAAGTAACGTATGCATAAGATCAAAGTGGGTCCCTATGATAAAAAGCTTAAAGTTCCTAACATCAAGGCAATTATTATCTCTGCATTTTTTCACGACGATTTTGGGACCCACACTACATTGAAAAGGCCATATTTTTGCGTGTTACGGGTCAAGCCACTGTTTCGAATTTCGATAATGGAATAATAAAAAAAGTTATGGTAGTCTCTATGGGTGGCTAATTGGCAACGTGAAAAACAAGCTGAAGGAACATGTTTAAGGACGAAAATGATGACCAGATTCACAATTTTTTTTTTTTTTTTTTAGTGATTAAACCGATAAACCCAAAGCAAACAACAAATTTCCGAGATTTCATCTTTAATCCTCGTCATCACCATTTGATAGATAAAAAGAAACAATGGAGATACTAAAAATAGAGAATATTCTACAAATCTATATCTATCCTGACATCTCAATAGCAAAAAGTAAATGGATCAAATTATAATAAGCAAAGCAGAGCAATCATTTAGAACTTTTTGTTTACTTTCTGTCAGACTCAGGTACTAAATTAACAAAACCTACCCCGCAAGCTAACAAAATAATCGAAATTGTTTGTATTTTATTTTTAATTTTATTAAATTACGCAACAAACCCTCCACTTCCAATCAAAGAATCATTCGATAATCCAAGAAGAAGATTTTAAAATATACAATTAAAAACAAAATCACAAATTGATGAATAAGAAATTTGGGAGACGAACCTCGTGTAATCTGACAATGTTGGGATGTTTGAGCATTTTCAGAGTCCGGATCTCTCTCTTTATCTGCAAAACTCAAACGAATAGCTCATTAAGAAATTGGATCCGTGATTATAGATCGAAAAACAAGAAAAAGAAAGAAATAAATATAAATAAATAATCGGAAAAAAAGGCGGAGATTATAAGATCGAGAAAAAAAACGCAAAAACCAAACCTGCAATGAGAAGTTGAGATCGGCGATACGAGACTTGTCGATGATTTTAACGGCGAACGATTGACCGGAGACGGTATCCTTAGCGAATTTGACTTTGCCGAAATTACCCTCGCCGAGCGTCCTCCCGAGCTCATATTTCCCCAGACGCATTCCTTTTCTCAGCTCCTCCACCTTCTTCTCCTCTTGCATTTTCACCATCCGATCGCACCGAATTTCCGAAAAACAGAGAACCAAATCGATTGATCTATTTCTCGCCTGATTCTCTCGATAGCTTCTAATTCCGTTCAGAAGAGGGAAGAAATGTTATCCCTAATATTGCTGTAGCTGTGTAGGTATGGATAAGGGAGGGAGATATATGTATATATAGAGAATAGGTGTAAGTAGATTGGAAGAGACGAAGATTGGGACGAAGAAGAAGAAGAAGAGAAGAAGTGCCGGTTGAAAATGAAGAGAGGACGCCACTTCCCATTGCTTCCTCTCTTCCTTATATTCCCATTTTTATTTCTGCTTATTTTATTTTTTTTTTTGTTTTGTTTTTTAGTTAGACAGATTTTTTTTTTTATTGGATAACAACAATAAATACAACATACTATTCCGACTAATGAAACTGACGATTAAATAAAAGAGCTAAAAAACCATTTTCGGAAAAAAAAAATTGTTTGCTAGTATCATTCGAGATAAATTGGTATTGGTCCAATAAAACCATAATAATATTTTATTGTGGACGAAATAAGGCTTATTTTGTCAACAAAGAACCTTTTCCCTTAATTATATTATAAGGTGTATTTGCGATATATTTGTGTATTTTATATGTGTACTTGTAGGTATCTGTGGGTCGACGTCATTTGCTGCATTAGTTTTATGTTTTTGATAAAGCATTAGTTTTATGTTGCAGTAAAGTTTTTAAAGATTCATCATAACTTTTTGTTTTTTGTTTTTTTCAGTTGGAAAGAAACGCTATATATGAACAAGATATATTTTTGGTTAAAATGATATTAGAAAAAGATTGTTGCATCTTTTACATATCTTGTTTCTGGAGCAGTTTTGATTTGGTTTATATGATTTTTGTTATCGCATCTTAGTAGATTATTTCTGTTTACTACGATTGTATTTAAAACTTAAAACAGATTTATAAACAGTAGTTAATGGCTCTAAATAGAAAGCCTAAATTCTTTTTAAATTAGCGGCTATATGTTCCCGCTCATCATTCACATCACACCCATCGCAAGTTTTCTTTGTAGATGAAAAGGTCTTAGTAATGTCACATGTTTCTCAAGGCAAGATTTCTATACAAGGTTGCAATTTATATATATGACGTGACTCAGATAAGTAGATCTAGAAGGATAACCTAAACAAATATTAAAATTATTGGGTCGAGACTAAGACGTGTCGGAATGGCCGGTGGTAATGCTGCTGCCGCCAGTGAGTGAATTGCTCATCGTCGATCGGTTACATATTGTTTTCCTATTTTATTGATTGATGATTATGACCAGAACCTTTTTTTGTTGCTGTTGTATAATTCTTAATAAGTAACAAAATTTGTATAAGCTTACAATTCCTTGGTTATACTTTTTCAACATACATAGCACACGGATCCCTCTTGTTTCATTTTGTTGTTTTTGCTGGTTAGTGTTACAATTATAGTACAGAAAGGTAAACTTATTATAGAGATGTAGCTAATTAGCCATTGATTATTTTGGATTCTACGTGTTACGATTCTAGCTTACTGTCTCTCGTCTTTCAGTGGGATATTTACCCTAGGCGTACACGTTTCGACCTATATATACGAGAATTCCAAAACATATTGATTAAATGCTAATCAAAGATGGGACAAGAAATTATGTACCCGATCGATGTACAATGATAAATTGATAATGGTAAACAATTAGTTCATCTTTCTGTTTGGGCAAAATTTAACCGGTTCACAAGTACAATAAACGGAATGACGCAGGAGAAGATATCTTATTAATCAATTGAATATCGAGCTACAACAAGTCAATATCAAAGATTAAACTAAGAGAATCTTGTCTATCGCTCGTCGTAGTAGCTAAGTTATTCGTCGCTGCTTGTCGAAAGGAGAGAGAATAAATAGCTATTAGGGTTTCTGTGTGTTTTTCCGAATGAGTCTCTTGGTTCTAAGACCTCTTATTTATAGGTGTTCGTTGGTCCTAGTCTTTATCGAGTTGGGCTTTGACGTCGATCGTAACTTTATATTTCCTACGTCGGTCGTCACTCCTAATTTCCTTTTAATTAGAAGTGCACGTCGGTTCTCTACAATTCCAATAGATTCAGGAAATTGTATATACCATTGGTTATTGCTAAACCGTTCATTAACATCGTCGGTCGTTGCTTTATCATATTGATAACACCGTCGGTCGTTGCTCTATTATGTTGATACTAAGACCTTTTAGACAATAGGAGGTGACATTGTTCGGTCGACCAGGGTATAGTGATTGTATGTGGGTCGTATCTTCAGTCTACAGTAGAATTTGAGGGATGGTCGATTAGGGAATTTATTTTACCTAACACTTTCAAATTTGTAGCTAAAACAATTAAAGGACTTTGAAACTGAGATTGTGGAATGCTTACTTTTTTTTCCCCAACAATTTACATTTCGTACCAAAACTCAAGTTGATCTTCATAATCTTAGATTTCCATATTCTCTTTTTAAACGTCTAAAGTCCAAATTAGTTGTTTATAAAATAATGCAAATGGCTTATAATAAATAATTAAAAAAAATATCCTTTGTAAAAAAACAGTTATCCAGATATATGTGCCTCGTCTTTAATCATCTTCATTAGTTTAATTTTTGCGTAGGGAATTATTAATCTGAAAAATAGGTATACCATTTTGAAGACTTGAAGTATGTATCATGTATGTCTTTTGTTTATCAAAAGTGCCAATATTCGAAATCATGAATCTACATTTCCATTTAAAGAAATTATGAAATGCTAGCAATATATAAACCAAAGTAGAAGATGTCGTTCCAAATATATGTAAACCAACTAACTATACACGATGTAAAATCAACGCACCATACCGCTCGATGCACACAATTACACAAAAAATCAATAATAGAAATGGTGTCCACCTGAATACCAATTATGATGGTGAAGTGGCTATCGTAAGAACATAATTGGTCCATACATTAATAAAACAAAATTTAATACGGTTTTCGATTTTTCTGAGTTATAAACAATGATATAGAAATTATGTTTTAAAATTTGTGGCTGCAGTGAAATAGAAGACAAAAATGAGATATTTGATAATGGAGGAAAGGAGCAGTAGCACGTGGATTGAACCAACCAACTGATGACTGACTAGTGTGGCTATTGCAGCCATGTGGTTGCTCTCTCCTTTCTTTTTCGAACCACAATTTTTGTTTTCTCTTTCTAAAAGAGAGCAATCGAAAACTAATACGTCGTATGTCTCTCTTTTTTTTCTAATGTAATGTCTCTCTTTTTAAAAAATTGTAAGGTTAGACATTAAATTTATCTTCCGAAAAAAAAAAAAAGAGAGAGCAATTTCCGTTGCAGTACGTATTACCCAAAAAATTTATATATATATATATATATATATATATATATATTCCGTTGCAGTTTATCTATGTTTTTTGATATGAATGTTATGCAGTGGCGGATCTAAAAAATATATTTAGCAGAGGCAAATTTAGATGTTATCACTAAAAAATTGATAGGATTAGTGAAGGTAAATCTTTTAAACTTGTCACTTGAAAAAACTAACTAAATTGATTGGTATTGGACTTAAACATGATTAAAAAATAAGTTATAGGGGCAAAATTTTGTTTTTTATGATGATAAATATTATTTTTCTTTAAAAACATGGGAGAATTGGTGAAGTAGCCATAATGAACCTAGTAATAAAGAAAATATCCATAGCATAACGAAAATTAGAGAGTGGAATACACGCACCTTCAAAAGACCAATTTGCCATTCATCTTTCCTCGACGAGTCAAACGTCATCGCCGGAGGTTTTTGTAAATTTGTACAAAGGAGTTATAGACCGTGGCACGAAAGTTGCGATCTAGAAATCAAACCCGAATTCAGAGCAAGGTCTCAACGAATTTAAGACGGAAAGGCACAAACATTTGGTGTCATTGAATTGAAGTATGAGATTTTCTGGGTAGTGAATTGAAGTATGAGATTTTTTATAAAGCTCAGATTAGATTCGTTCTCTACTTGATGCGACACAGTTCGGCAGTGTAGCGGTCACCAGAATCACTAATTCTTTTCATCTCTAACTTTTCAAGAACCCTAATTTCCAAAATAACCCAGAAAATAGAAGAATTGCAGGAAAAACAGAGGAATCCAATTTTTAGAACTAGAAATAATCAATACAACAACTGAAATAACTAAACAATAAACCCTAAACACGAATCTGTAAACCCAAACCTTACACAATCAAAAGGAGGAAGAGAGGTGAAGAAGAAAAAGAATCGTGAGGGAGAGAGAAGAGAAAAAAAAAGTGAAGTGAATTGAAAAAAAAATGTTTCTTTTTGTTTTAGGGGTAATTTCGTCATATTATATTTTATATACAAAATATCATAACCTATCAGTTGATATGGATATATTCTTAATTGAATATTTTTTAATGGTTATTCATTGATAAATCCCTAAAAACATTAAGGATTTTTGTTTTTGAAGAGGAGGTTGCCACCTCCTTGGGCAACGTGGGTTCGTTCCTGATGTTAAGATCATACCATTTTCTGCACTTACATTGTTGTTGTTAAACAACTTATTACAAGGCAAAAAAGACAAGGAAAGAAAAGACAAGACTCTTTTACAACAACGAGAAAAACACTTCAAGAAGGGAAGAAGCGGATGCGCTTGTTGCCGGAAAAGATAAGAGACGGTCCCGAATCAGACGATCAGCTTCAACTCGAACCGCAATCACCGTTGCAGATGTGGAGATGAAGATTCTTCTATTTCTCTCCTTCCAAAGAAGATAGTTGACCACTTGGAATATGAGTCTTATGACTACTCCCTTGCTTGATCAGTTTATCTATGTTGTTTGTATATTGGATGAACCCTAACTTAGATTATCTCAACATCTTAAAAACTATATTATTAGATGATCTCAGATTCTCATGTGCACATATGAATACAAAGTTATACAAATAAACACTATTGTATACTTATCACTTATGGAGTTATGGTTACGATAATTTATATTTCTTA